ATTCTTTTTTATTTACCTATTTTGTTTTTTTAAAGCATAATTCACTTTTTTTCTTTTGCTGTTGTTGTTTTTTGGATTAACTGTCATATAAATACATATTTGATAATTTATCTTTTAAAATATATAATACATGCATATAGTTATATGGACACCGCTCACCTTTAAACTTTGATAAAATAACCAAGAAATTAGAAATGTATTGAAGCGAGCAATCATTACAACCTACTCAATGTTGACACTGTTCAATTTTTTGCACTTTCTCCCTTTAATACATATTAAATAATGTCAAACAAACCCGAAAAATCCAGAGGGTAAAGTGTCATTTTACAGCATTCGGCTGCGATAATGCGACAAATGATGTATAGCCATGGGAATTTCCTAAAAGTTATGAGGTTTCCCTAACAAAATGGAGGAGTGAGCATCCCCTGCCTACCGGTCACATCCGCCGTGTGCTCCTTGTCATGATCGGGAAATAACGGAAAAATCCGTCGACAATTCAGTGTGTAAATAATGACCTAACAATAAGTATGAAAAAAATGAGTCAGCATTTTACTTAGTGAAAGATTATATTTGCTGACAAGGTCATTGTATCGACCATAGAACTTACGAAATGATGACTTTAAACGAGACTGCTGATATTCTTGTTTCATCTTGTTTGTCAATAACTTACCTCGTTTTAGAAACTAGAGCATGTTCTTGTGTATCGAATCAACTGAGAGATATAAACCCCATATGCAGGTGATAAGGGTATATTGCTGCATAAATAAGGGAAGTTCAGGATTGAAAAGTTAAAGTCATCACGTTTATCATAAAGTTTTGTTGTTAGATTATCATTAACGTCTTTTTCAAAAAAAAAAAAAAATATCCAAATATGAAACAGATGTGTCAGACTCTGTGGTATTTTTTTATGCTGACTTCTCCATGGCACCTGATTCCACCTCCTCTGATGTCTTAGAGGTCCGCGTTTGCTCTGCTCCTATTTTGTAATGTTTAATGGACTTTTGAGTTTGAATACTGTTCGTTACCTCCACATATTTCATAGTAAACAATAGTTACCTAAGTTAATCAAAGTTTCAAAATTTTCACACTAGTTTATCAACTTATTAAACTATTTTAATAATGTTTTGCATATTTTGCCGGTTTTTTGGGGGTGGGGTGGGGGGGGTGGGGGGGTGGGGGTCGGAGGTTGGGTTTGGTGGGGCTGCGGGTTGTTGTACATCTTACTTTAAATTTACAAATTACCTAATTTAAATGCAATTTTTACATTTATAAATCTTTAAAAAAAAATATATGTTTAATGAAGTTGATGGAGCACGTATTGTGATTCTGAATGAAGCAAATTCTAGTTTAGAGTATATTATTTTCCTTTCTTTATAAAATAAAACTTACACCACATCTGCATTAAATTAAAGGCTTTTAAATAAATGTTGCTTATCTATCGGCGCGAAAGACAACCTTACATTTAAATTCATTTCTTGTACATTTCTTAGGGAAAGGTTTGCGTTTATAAAATGTTCTCTGAAGCTTTTATGAATTTTGACTATTAAATATCATAAGAATGGGAATCAAAACATAATTCCACGGGTTTTACTATACATAGTAAATCAAAGTTTCAAAGTTTTTATGATAGTGGATCAAAGTTTCAAAGTTTTCACTATAGTAAATCAAAGTTCCAAAGTTTTTACTGTAGTAAATCAAATTTCCAAAGTTTTCACTATAGTAAATCAAATTTCCAAAGTTATTACTATAGTAAATCAAAGTTCCAAAGTTTTCACTATAGTAAGTTTTTACTTTGATACTATAGTTAACTATAGTCAACTATAGTTAAATTTAATAAAATTTAGTTAACTATAGTTTACTATTGTATTTTTTGTAAGGGTAGCAGTTGTAAACAACAGAATCTTAATAAGCAGACATGTACAATGTATATTTTAAAATATTTGTTTAAATTACTTGCTTGTTGATAATTAGCCGACGGATTTAAGAGAGCTAATATTAATGCTAATTTTCCATCGTCTTTTCTTGTTTTTTCTAGTTTCTAGAATCACTGGCCAATTCAGCAGACTGGTCAAACCTCATATAAATGATAAATATATAAATATAAAAACATATAGATCATAGCATATTAGATAACCAAAGCTATAAAATTCAAAATGCAAACGTAAGATGACACTCAATGTCCAAACAAAAGTAAGACTATGAAATGAATGCTTTTTAATACGTGCACTTCATGTATATGAAATGATTTATGGGTTCCTTTCAACACACATTTTAAATTCCGTATTTTTGCTTTTTATTTCAAAATTCTGTTTTTTATTTAGTAATTTCGTTTTTTATTTAGTTTTGTTTTTTTTTTATTTCATAATTTCGTTTTTTATTTAGTTTGGTTTTTTATTCATAATTTCTTTTTTTACTTAATTGTTTATTTTTGGTTGATAACTGTCATTATCTCCATCATTTTACATCATTTTAGACACCTGGTAATGTCTTAACGTTCAGTATAGAATAAGCTAGATATGTCGTCAGTATTCTCATGGCATTTGTATTGAGTAAAGTAAATAACCTAATGGTAATTTTTCTATTAATTTTATTAAGTTTCGAGAAATATAATTCTACATAAAAAAATCTATTCTGAATAGATTAGAGTAAATTAATTGATGTTGCATGATCATATTCTTGTGTTAATTAGTCAGTCATAATGATATTTTGAAATGAAAATTTTATCGCCAGCGTCGCGCAGTCGTCAGAGCGTTTGCTCTTGAGTCGCGAGGTAAGGAGGTGTTCCCTAGGTCGCATTTTCGAATCCACTGTGTGACGTGGGGACAGGTCCGTATAAACCAGGTCCCGTGTCGCAGTAGGTGCTGGCACGGAAAATATTCCGCGCTGCTCAAAGGATTGAGTACAGGTCTAAATTTGCAGCCCTTCATTGGCAAGTGATGGCGTCTCAAAATGAGTGAAAAATTCTTAAAATGGCGTTATACAAGCAAACAAACAAATTAGGAAATTTTGATTGTCGTTTAAAGATGCTTGTATTTTCACGAATAACCAAAATATACATGGTTTATCTTTTCGAGTGGGAGCTATGTTCTTGTACTGTATGGTTTATAAAACAGGTAAACATTATCCCTTTCGATATAATTCCTTCCCCAAGCTGAAAATGCATACCATGAGTATGCTGACACTTATTTAAAATCAACTGCAGATCTAATGATAAGAACTTCCAACAATATTGTTATACACGATTCATTGCTCTGCTTATATTTACTAGAATTAACAAACATTGGTTGATAGATGTGCATCATAATTAACAAATATTTCTAATAAAAAAAATTATATCCTTCAACTGACGTAGAATGAGGATGTTTTCCCTACAAAACAGTTTCCATTAACGTTAAATTATTTGTAATTTTTATCCTAGGTATTGAAATATGGATAATAGCATCATTTCAAGAGTAGCAGAATAGAAGAAACATTCATAATTACAAGTCAGTGTTATCTCAACACACTATCACAGAAAGCGTACTTAAAATGGTTTATGCAGTATATGTAAACTCGGAAATAAATTTTTAACTCATTTAAATGGTTCTAAATCATACAAACACGATTTAAATCATTAAAATGAAATTGAAATTGAAATAAATTTCAGTACTTTACAATATATTGCCCCAAATATAAGATTACAATGAATGTTTACGTCATAAAATCCCTTGATTCTGTTCACAATTGATATATAGATATGTGTGCAGCATGTTATAGTCGGAGTTTAGAGTCAATACAGAGATTGTTTTCTGCACAGATGAGTGTTATTTGTTGTTTTGACTGTCTCTATTTGTGAACCGCTAAATATCCATACCATGAAACGATGAGTATAGACATACATGTAGCTGAAAAAGAACGCTGCACGACCGCGGATTGTTTTCGATTAAATGGCGGTGCTTTCTTGAAAGTTAGGAAATCAAGGAATGGCTGTGCCACGTTTCACTGTGAAATAAAATAGGACCCTGGCTGATTAGAATTTTTTAGAATGAGAGTTTGAGAATTAAATATGAACTTTTAGTTTTTATCCTAATTTGCTTAAAAATTGGGGCGTGTGGGCGGATCTCTGTTTACATTATTTATTGAAATTATTTACATATCGCTCTTAATTCTTACACAAAATTTTCACATTGTTATTGCCAATATGGATATATATAAGCAGAGGATACTTTTCTTATACAAAATATTCACAGCTAATGAATTTACAACTTTACACTAATGCTGCTATGAAATGGGGTGCGCATCCCAATAAATTGAACATGCTATTGCTGTACGTGGTAGTCACCACTTTTCATAGGCTTTCTCCAAATACTTTTTAGTTCGACCAACAATTTTTTATGTTGAATTTGAAAAATTCGCAGATTTTCACTGTCCTCATACATGTACGTCCAAGATTTCGTCCTTGACACGTTAGATATGGTCATTTTGCAAAATGGGGTGTCTACAATATTCTATAGAATGGCCGATGCTGAACAGTTCTAAGATTTCCCATTTTCTTAGCATTATTATCCTCTAAATTTTGCCAACAATCTTTAATTTCAAATACGAAATAACATACAACCTTCCGATGGTTACAAATTGTAATTTTCTTTGTTTATCTAAGCTTTTCAAAGCTTTAAAAAACTTGCTGTGATATCACGAGGTCACCTATCACGGGTCGATCACGTCGGACTGTTTCGTTAATATTTTGTTAAGTCGTTCGATTAATATTTTATGAAATATGTGTCGACTAATATTTTATGAAAAAACATATATTGATAACACAAATTGTAAGTCATAAAAAATCTTTCTGTTTTCATAACGGGAACACGAAGACAATATTTACAGACGTATTTCATTAAGGTCTGCTTTCCCCACTTATGAATCATTTTCTCCGTTTCCGGGTCATGTGAAGTCATGCATGCATAATGTAAAAAAAAATCGTCTCCGAACACATGAAAAGTTCATGCAGCTCGGGAAATATGTAAACAACCACAGAAAATTTTTTATTATTATATAATAAATTGCAGTACACACTAAAAAACAGTCAAAAAATAAATAACAAATGACTATATTATAACTGTTAAAATTCATAGGCATATGAAAAAAATACAAAATATGAAATTTAATATCTTTGCCCTTTAGATTATTCATTTTTTTCTTATCTTAAGTATCAAAGTCTTTTATCATTGGGATGGGATGGGAACTGGTTGTCCAGTGGTTTCAGCTGTAATCTCTCCCCTCTCATCTACTATATTACAGAAAAATTGATTTTTTAACCCTTTTTAATTACGAATAACAAAAAGGGAATAAAATGAGTTTATTAGGATAAAAAATAATAAAATTAAAGTTAAAAAAAAGTTTTTACAAGTTGAATTTTAGTTCTTTAATTTTTCGTTAAGAAAACTAGTACTTTCATAAAATAAGTAAAATATATGACGGCAACTAAGTTTAATTTTTTAATATCAAGTTTTAAGTCATCTTCCGTGTCATGAGGTAGGTGAACCGAGATTGAATACACTTTTACAAGATGATTTATTAATCAGTTATAGTGTGAATTTAATTGAGCAATAATCATTATGAATGTTTTTCTGACTTTTAAGTGAATACATGTACAGCTATTAATGCTTACTTACAAGTTTTATATCAGCCATGCTCCAGTGAGCAAAAACGAAAGAAGCGAAAGCATCTAAATCTTTAATCGCGTGATTCATAATTGTTTGTCGCATGCTCTTTAATGTTGATTTTCAAAAAAGAAAAATCCTTGATTACAAGCAAAAATACCAATTCTTCATGACCAGTATAATCAATTAGTTTTCGTGCTTTGATTTAAAGAAAATGGCACAAAATATATATGAAACTGACCATGTAGACGGCATTTAATTGACGGCTTCACTGTATCTAGATGTATCAAAGTTATTGCGTTTTTTCTGTCCTCTCTCTACTGGCATATTACTTTTTTCCTACTAAAAATTTGCTTTTCTTGCCGTTTTTTATTCCACACTCCACATGCACTTTTAGAGGGGCGGGCAGGGATGAGAATCAAAATGTCAATTTTATCTGGCCATAATTGTATTCGTGAAAAAGTTTAGAATAAAATTAATTAAAAGATTACAGCCTAAATTGCATATTGCATGAAAAAAATAACACTCTGCTTCTCACACCGGACAACCCTGGCTAACACTGGTGGTAATGTGAAAATATTTTTTCTTGAGATATTTTGTTTCTATTGACATCAATATCATATTCCTATCAAAAAAGATAGTTTTTCCTAAAAAGTGATGACACTTTGGGGTAGGGGGTGACCAGACCGAAGAAAATAAAAAAATACTATACGATCCAAACGAAATACAATAAAAGAAGTAAAATACCCAGTGATAAAACAACGAATTTTGCATTTGAACAGATAAATGGCGGAATACAAAAGTTCCAGTTATAGTGAGGACGAGTGTATCTGTTACAAAATTATGGATCATTGCAATTTAGTAGGGTACCTTTATGTATAAGTATGTATGCATAAGTTTCAAACACTTGTTTCTGGATCGTACACGTTGTTGCTAGAAGCACTAAAACTACTCTGGCAGGACACTGGATAAATTGTGGGAGCCAGAATGTACAATGTAATGAAAGGTACTTGGATACTGGTTACTAACATCATCCTCATAAGAATGAAAACGGTAAACTTCATCTTTGATAATATAAAGTCCAACATTGATCAAATCTATTTTAATCTCTGTGTATGGTTTCGTGTTGAATCGTCTTAGGTAAGAAAAATACATATGTATTTTTCTTGAGAACATTTTATGTGAACATTGGGCAAAAAATCTCTTTTTATATAATCAGGTACCCTGTTAGCATTGTTTTATGTTGGATTTATGTTCGACAAATACCCGTCCTCCATAAAACTTTGTATATCGGAATCTCTGTGTCCTTTAAGACTTCTAATGGAAGAATGTTCGTCCTTTACATCCGTTGTGCTATTTGTTACATAATCAACACCTTTACGGAATTTTAATTCCTCTTCTTGGTTTCTCATATAACCATTGCAGTAGTTGTATTTTTCCATCCATTCCTCATGGTCATCGCAAGATTTGTCGTATTCAATGATTTGTTTGACCGGAGGAATGTACCCCAATATATCACTGCTTGAAGATCTTAACTCGTCCCCTGAATCTAATACTTTCTCTGATTGGCAGACTACTTGCTTGTGATCTACTAAAAGAAAATTAAGAAAGATTTAAAACATCTTTACCTCGTCGGAACAGTTACACACATACACACCACAAAGTATTTATAGTTATGTATACATTTATATGAATTTCTGCAAGTTTTGTATTTGTAATTCCTTTATCAACGAATTGTGAATCAGGAAATGCCCTTAATAATTATATGAAAAGATATTAGAAAATTTAGTGGAACCTGGAAATATTTGAGTTAGAATGTACTAGATGAATGCATTATACAGAACCCACTATAGATGAACCACAGTTCCATAATAACAGAGGAAAAAAGAAAAAAAATTTGGAACAATAATGAATAAAAGCAAGTGGATATTTCGTCCAGGTAGCCACATAAAAACCTACAAGGCTTTGTATCCTACACGTCTATAAATTTCATTACCCTGTATTATATCTAATTCAACTCTGTACAATGAAAAATAAAAGATGACGATTAGTAATAGAGCTCAAAAGCCCATTGAAAAATACAAATCGGGATCATGCAGAGTAAACACGGATCTCTGAAAACATCAGAGGTGGGATAAGGTGCCATGGAGGAGTAAGCATTCCCTGTCAACCGACCACATTCGCTGTGTGATCCTTCTTATGATCCGCTAAACGGAAAAATTCCATGACAATTCAGTGTGAAAATAATTGCCTAATAAAAACGACAGTCAACATTCGACTTCACGATAGATTGAAATTGCTAACAAGGTCATTGTATGGACGATAGAATTTGCAAAAACTATGCGTTAAACAAGACTTTTAATATCCTTATATCATCAACTTATTTATAATAGCTCGCCTCGTTTTAGAAATGGTTCCTATGGAGAACATACTCTTGCCTATCGAATTAACTGGGAGATATATACTCCATATGCAGGCGATGTTCTTGGTATATTGCTACATAAAAAGGATGTTGGAGATAGAAAAGTTAAAATTATCACATTCATCACACAGTTCACATGAAATTTTCCTATAGTCTATCCATATTTGAAACAAGTGTGTCAGACTATGGTGTCTTTTATTTTGAGTCTACTTTGGAAAGAAAATACATGGAAATGTTTTCAACTGATAAAACGTCGTCGATATATCAATGTCTAATTAACGACCACAGTAAGAGACTTTTATTTTTGTTTGTTTTCTTTTTTTTTTTATTCTGTGTCATACAAAACAGGTCTGTTACATGTAATCTCGTGAGGCAATAATTACCCATGAAATTTCCTACAGATTGTTGGAAGACCCAATCTCCAAAAAACTATACAGATATAGTCAACCAGAAGCTTTTTAATAACGATGAAGTCCCCGCGTGTAGATTCAGAGTGTTTTACCAAAATAATTTTCCAGATGAGCAATAACAATATACATTGTTTGTAAATTTACGAATTCCATTTGTCCCCAGCATGGCGCACTTGTAGAGTGTCTGCTCTAGAGCCGCGGAGTAAGGAGTTAATCCTTGCGTCGCGGGTTCAAATCCCACTGTGGGACGTGGAGACCAGTCCTTCGGATGAGACCGTATAAACCGAGGTCCCGTGTCGCAGTAGGTCCGTGTTTGCTCTGCTCCAAAATCTGTATTGTTTGATGGACTTTTGAGCTTTAACACTGTTCGTTATCTCCATACATTTCATTCTGGCACGAAAAAGATCCCTCACTGCTCAATGGCCCTATGTGCCGAGCATAGGTCAAAATTTGCAGCTCTCCACCGGCAAGTGGTGGCGTCTCTATATGAGTGAAATATTCTCGAGAGGGACGCTAAACAAGAAACAAACAAACAAAACAAACAGACGAATTCCATTTTTATTGAAAAAGCAGTTATGTATGATATCAAAAAATTTGGTCTTTATTTAATCGTGGTGAATAGTTGTATAAAGTGTTGAAAAGTCGTACATTTCGATGCTATAGATTTAGGTAAAGTTTTGTGATTTCAAATCTTTTGGAGTTTTTAGCATATCTGGTAATTATTGCTTCTTGAATATGTTGATGTACACGTACTCCTTAGGTTTATTCTTTACTGCTCTTAATATTTGGTGACAAGGATGTCAAATCAATCAGTAAAAATTGACTGATTGATTGATTGATTGATATTGTTTAACACCGAGTCGGCAATATTTCATCCATATTTCGGCGGGAGGTGTAAAGAAAACGGCTTATCAAAACATTTACTATCACTTGCTATGCCTTTGTTTGGATATTTATGTGCTCAAGGAATCCATTATAGGTTTGGTAATTCAAATTCAATATGATTGTTGGGAATATTAGAATCATTTTAAACGGACTTAAGATTTTGAAGAATTTCCACTTTAGAAAAAGAAGTATGAGTGTAAATTGGATTACCACTCGCAAAATTAAATTTAAGTTCAATAATAATGAGCCTTAGAAAAAATATCAACTTTGTTACCTTCTTTGTCAGCTGGGATTAGTAAATATTGATAGTGTAGCCTATCTACATGTACATGCAATTCTTTCTTTTCACTTCTGAATTATTGAAGACAGAATGATACATGGTTTTCCTATGTTTTAGATAATAATTTCAAAATTGAGCTGATTCATATTACCACATAAGAGAAGTTTTTGATCTTTCATTAATAAATCATCAAGTGGGGAATTTGAATCACGTGATGTTGATGAAATGCTGCTGTGCCCGCTATCTCTGCTGAGATGTCTGGAAAACGGAGTGTCCTTCACATCACGATCGGATTTCTTAAAACATAAATATTATAATCTCTATAACATTATAAATCGCTTCGTAAACAATAATTGCATTAAAGATAACGAAAAAGATATAATACCTAGCAAGTAATTTATACTAATTATTATTCAATTATTATTACAATTATTTTGTCAAAACAAATCTAACCTCTGCTTGTATAAAGGAGATGTGTTCCTCTGCTTGACTCGACTCAATATAAAGACTGTTTTCTTGCTTCTGAAATAAACATAATTTTTCGGGGGAAAATCAAGATATTTTAATCTACATTAATTAATTAAGGCTTAACATAGTTTCAAAAAAGAAAACTTTAAAAGAATGAGGTTATAGAAATATTAAAAGGGTTATAAAATAAAGAGCGGGATAGTGCTAGAATACTCGAGTATTTTTAGCATGCAGAGAAAACCTTTACGAGTTCATATATGGATAGTGTACTGTTTTTATTTTTCTCTTTTTTCTAATATTTAGAACCAGGATTAGTTTTAGTCTTTACAAAAAAGAGTCCCTTCCGGTTAATCACTCAAGGCTAAATGCATATTGTCATTCGCAACTCATATTTAGACCATTTTACCTCTAGCCAATCCATGCATAAAATGTAGAAATTTTTCATAGATTTCATATGCAGCTTTATATTGTTGACACATTTTGAGCTTTTCTAAAAGATTTTTTGATATTTTACTTTAATTTTCATCTTAATAGTATTTTACAACATGTTTACGCATAAATCTTCATTCATTGATGTATACAAATTACATGTATAAAAATGAAATCCATGGGAGTGCGGTTACTTATATGTAGTCCAACTGTTTAGAAACTTGTGATATAAATTTATACCATTGTCTTCAGAAGCTGAAAATACTGTATTAAACTCAAATATACTTAAACGCAAAAGAAACGCAACATCTTTTTTTAGAGGGGGATATTATACACTGTATATAGGGTATAACTTTGTACTAAAAAAAGTAAGGGCATCTTCAACTTTGCGAAATATATAATTTAACGGTTGAATGATTTTCATAAAATTACCGGAAGTTAAGCTTGAGCCCACTTAACAAAAATCAAAAACTGCATGTTTAACAAAACACTCTGCATTGATTTAGGTTTTCAAGGGTTTGTATCTTCCATTACAAGTATTCCAGCAATATTCCGAAAAAAAATTATCCCTTCTTTTCCTTAGGTGATGCTACTTAAAGTTTCCTCAAATGACTTAAGTACGCATTTCCATTGCTCTAACTGGTAATTCTCAAAACAAAGGTGAAGGAGAGTTGTAGATGCAAATATTCACTACATTACGACTCAATAGGCTCTTAAATGATGAAATTTTAAGATATTTAATTAATCACATAGTATATACAGAGAAATTCATTGCAGCTCATTGCAGACCAGAATACTTGTTTTGATTAACAGAGTAAATAATTCTTGATCTCGAAGAAAGCATGCTACACTGAGGTATAGCTTCGCTTGACTGTGTTTAAGTTACATAGAGTGCTTTCTCTTTATCTTCCTTAATTTTATATCAAAATGAACATTCAATAAATAATGTATTAGCAGAATTTTTAGCGAGGATTCAATTTTTTGCATTATTAGCGAGGGTTTGGAGTTCTGTAAAATTTAATATCGCTAACAATTAAACCCGTAAGGATTGTTATAGATATCTTTCTTGACATTATAAAATCGCTACAATTACTTCTCGCTAAAAATATTTACCTTTTCTTGATAAATCGCTAAATTTGCATATAGCTAAAAAAAAATCCACTTATGCGGTACAGGTAATTAAGTAAAACACACAACTCCTACAGTCCCTGAAACGTTCTACTTTCCCATTTTTCCGTTCGCTCACCGTTCGTTCAGCGTGCTTTCACCGTTCGTTCACCGTGCGTTCACCGTTCGCTCTCCGTTCACAGTTTTGCGTTCACCGTTCAGCGTGTGCTCGCGTTCACCGTTCACAAAGCGTTCAGCGTTCGCTCTTCGTTCCGTTCACTTTGCGTTCACCTTGCGTTCAGCGTTCACCTATCGTTCAGTTTTCAGTTTTCATTGTCATTCGGAACTCCGAAGTTAAAGGACTTATCTTTTTGTAGTTAAGGAGTTACAGGTTTTTTTAATTTATTAACTAACATAGCGTGTTTGAAGAATCATTATTTCATGAGGAAAAATATCTACGATATATATTTTTATTATTCTAACTTAGCTGTTAGGTTATTTATTGAATTACTCTGGAAAATAAGTGTTGTTACAAAACATAATAGAACTAGTTCTGAGAGTTATACATAGTACTGCGGATATCCTGTTAATTTATTATCTTTAGAACGAATTAAATTGATAGTGTGGTTAAAGGAAATATTTATTTAAAATGTAATGCACTACAGAATTTCTCTACTGTAATATGTAAAGTCTATAGTTACATGTATAGAGAAAAAAAAAATCTTTCTTCACCGTAACTTTATATGTTTGCCATTCGATATGATTAATACCCCCCCTTTCCCCCTAAATCGGTGACTTAGTCAGTACCGTATTTCCAGAATATTTTAATTAACATTTTAAAAAAAGCTACGGTCTTTTTTAGAACAAAAATTTCAGTCTCAAAACAAACATGCATCTAAAAAAGTCACAAAACAATAGTAGATCAAAATGTACACATGTCGGCGGTGGTATTTGAAATTGGCAGAGAGTGTGTTTCACATTCAAGTGTTAATGCCCAATGTATTTTACTAATTTATTATTCAAATGTTGGAGTCAAATCTAGAAATGATAAAAATAAATGTTATAACTTGTTGGAAATACTCGCACTTCGTCTTCGATGTGACGAAACTTTCACACCTGCACAGTGTCGAATGATTTTGATTGACAGGACAAGCACGTGGACTTCGTGTGAACTTGAAGCAGGAAAATAAAAACGAGTATAACTGTCAAACAAATGGATATGATTTGTTGATAAAAAAAAAAAAGTTACTTTCACTGTCTGATATATTTAGAAAAAAATTTCAGAGTTTTTGTTTGATATAGGTACAAACATTTAGTGAAGCCTGAAAGGAGGGGGGGGGGCTAAAACTGAATATTACTCTCTCTCTCTCTCTCATTTGTCTGTTTAATAAAAACTATAACACCATATTACTTAATTATCAAGTTCTGAAAATTGAATTTATAACAAATAATATGAATATGTATCTTTGTATCATCTTGTCCGAGTATAATCACGGCCATCTAGAGATACATGTAGACGTCTGCTCAATAAATCATGATGAAAAATAGAAATGACACATAATATATTATTGTATTAAAAATTTAAAATAAAAGCGTATAAATGTATTTATTTTTTTTTTCATTACTTTACACGAAATCGCCATGACACGGAGATACAGTACCCGCATCGTTATTCTTTACAGGATACACGATACGATAGGATACACGCACGATACGATAGGATACACGCACGATACGATAGGATACACGCACGATAGGATAAACGCAAAACACGATAAACGCAAAACACGATAAACGCAAAACACGATAGACCTGATAAACGGTTTTCACGATAGGATAAACGCAAAACCTGATAGGATTGTTATAAAATGCGGAACGTTTTAGACAAAACGAATAATTTCCGTTCAATATATAAAGTATTTGTGTCTCTAGTTAATTCAAGTACATATATGCGCGTATAAAGTAGCTATTAAGTAAACAGTAATCATTTAACGTATTTACAGATAAAATAATAAAATCTATATTATGGTTAATGAATGAACATGATTTCTTTTTTAATTATTTAATCGATCGTCAAACAAACTATTAATAATTATTTTGATCACACTCAGTGTTTGATTCCTCGTAAATGATTGTTTAATTATATATTTCCGATTTGCCCCATCTTAAATCTAAATTACGGATCGTGTTATTTGTAATTACCGAATTTTTTTTTTTAATAGATGATTACCTGATAAATATTTTAAATCTACTAACTTAAAAGCAACTTTGTACGTCAAAAAAATTTTGGAAGAAAAGACAGCAGGCAATATGAAGGCAGCTTATGCAGGAGAACAAGTAAGTTGGTTTCACGGTTCATATTATTTTTTTCATGCATTTTTCTTGTCTTTAAATAGCATTTATTCATGTTTAATTTGATAGAATTAAATATACTGTTTCATATATACATGTATGTACATGTACTCTATGAACAAATCTGTTTCTCAGAGTATTACATGCATTCATACAATTCTGAAACTTTAAATCCTGTTAAATCATTAGTCCAAGAGATTTCAATAAAATTACGAAAATTGTTTAAGATTTTACGGGTGTGAATTTTATTGAAACCCGGCTAAAATGAGAAGGGTAACCATGAGAAGAGTGAGACCCTTGGCGAAAAACACATTACATTACGGGGCATGTAGATGGTTAATACACAGGGTGGAAGTGTCAGGTGGGAGGTAGAGGGTGTAAATCTGACAGGTAGACGGTGTACTGGTAGGTACACTGTACCCATAGGTGTCAACCTTCTTGTGGCTTCATGTGCTCGCGTGGTACACAACTACACTATAAGTAGTGCAGTCGCCGACTGTCTTAGTTTCATTATATAGAGTCCCTTTCCACACCTTGACAAGTAAGTTTATATTATTATAGTATATGCTTTGTGTGTGCATGTGTGTTTCCCAAGTAAACTCTCTAAAATATATGAATTGAGTAGGAAACTAAATGTAGAAAACATCTTTTTCATCATGGCCTGAATTTAATTCGGTCGAGCAAGTACGATGCACAATATCTCATAGTCATTAAGATGTATCGGTTTGGATATTTTTCAATGAATTAAAGACAAACAAGAGAAAATTTTATGTACAAATGAAAAAAAAACAAAAAAAAAACGACAGTACATTTTTTAAAATTCTATGTGTATATTACGAAACCTTAATCTAAAGACAAAGTTTCTTTAAATGCTATCAAAATGAATTAGTTATTGAATATTGGGGGAAAATCCGACAAGTGAATCGAATATTTCATGTCTAAATTCCCAAATGTTATAACTTTGTTTCACTTTCGGTTTACGCTACATGTGCTTCTTGCTTTGATGTTGATCATGTTTGATTCACAAATCATGGAGGGTAACAGGTTTGTCGGTTAAGCAATATTTATTTAGGCTTTTTCATTGATATTATTCTATAGTCTATTATATATTTTAAAGTATTAAAGATGCTATTACGTGTAATTAAGCTTCTAAATATACCTTAAAAGTAGCAATTACCGAGATGACGGCATAAGCACACACGCGTCACATTATTAAACGAGCCATCACCTTCTCAATATGGAATATTAGTATAATCAATTAATCACTACATTTAATTACGTAGCTTAAATTACTTACATAGCCTTATTATTTAGGTACTAAAGTAGCCTTATTTTATTTACTCATGCAAATTCTCACAAGTTTATTATTTTTTTTTATTTAAACTTGTTAAAAAGGAAAAAAAAATCGCAAGATTGTGACTACTAATATTTGTACTGCGGAATTTTAAAAAGCAGTCCGGAGCAAAATCAGTTTACACATTAATGCCTTTGAACACTTGCGTTAACATCCCCCTCCCTCCTTCCTGGTTCAGAATTCATTTTTAGCTCATTTGAGTAAAAGGCTAAAGTGAGCTTTTCTGATAAAAATCTGTCTGTCAACTGTCATTGTAAATTTTTTAACTTACAGTAATACCTGAGCTGAAAGCTCAAGTGAGCTTTTCTGATCACCAGTCGTCTGGCGTCTGTCCATCCATCTCTTTTCACAATTTCAACTTTTTCTTAAGGACCACTGTGCCAAATTTACCAAAGTTGCTAGAAAGCATCACTATAGGTTAAGAGGATTTTAAATTTTTGAAATAAAGGCAAACCCAATGTCATGAGGAGATAAATTTTTGAAATAAAGGCAAACCCAATGTCATGAGGAGATAATCAGGAAAAGGCAAGTTTTGCCGAAAATAGGGCTGGTGATTAAAAACTCTTCTTATCAAGAACCACTGGGCCAGAAAAGCTTTGTGAAAGCTTCTCGAGGTAGTGTAGATTGTCAGGGATGGGTTAATTACATAGGAGAGTAATTAATTAAATGACAATTACTTGCCAAAAACCTTCAATTAAATTACCATTACCATTACAAGGAATTTGAAATGTAATTATTTAAATTACAATTACTGGGTCCCTCTCAAATGGGAAAAATCCTCGACATTTTTGTCAAATTGGGAAAATTAACATACTTATTACCCCTTCCCCCTTGCCCGTGTGGCGCAGTGGTAGAGCATTTGTTCTAGAGTCGCGGAGTAAGGAGTTGATTCTTATGTCGCGGGTTCGAATCCCACTGTGGGACATCGAGACTGGTACTTTGGCTGTGACAAGCCATTTATTACTTAAAATTCCAAAGCCTTTTGTTTCTTATCTTTGAAATTTGCTATGGACCGATTAATCTGTTTCGCTGTAAGTCTCCTCCTCCCCCACGAACAATGCAAATCATGCCGTCAGAATTTCTTTGACTCATAGTAGACCTGAAACTGGTGCACAAAGAGTTCAACAATGAGAATAATTGTTCTGCACAAGCTGTAGAGCTTGGTATCAGAGCTGCTGCAGTAGAATTAGAGGATATTGCAGCTTTAAACAAGTCATCCATTCACTTGCACTGCTTTGCTGCCTTATTGTCAACACGTTTCCGATATTTCCCATTGTGCTGACATTTTTCAATGATTTTTTGTTAACTTGTACCTGGTTCAGTTTAGAGTTTATTAAACAAAACATAAATATTATCGCTGTAGATACATGTAAATGACCCTACATTTCACATTAAGTTTCATTAAATATATTATAAATAGTTCAATCAGACAATACATATCCATGTAGTTGATCTTTAGTAATAATGTTATACATATATTCAAAGCAGGGATTAGCTCACTGAACTAACACACGGGGATTAGTCCATTCATTATCATACCAATGTAAAGGTAAAATCTAGAGGATTACAGATAACCTGGAATTAGCTTTCAAAGCAAGGATAGCTCACTTGACTAACGCACGGGGGTTAGTCCATTCATAACGATTTCTAGGGAATTAGTATACAGTTAAAAGTATATCATTGAGGGAGTAAGCAAGATTCCAGTTCCCCAAGGCCAGGACTATTTCCCGAGGACTATTACACACGAGGATTAGCCCATTCACATGTCATACCAATGTAAAATTAAAATCTAGAGGATTACGGATAACCAGGAATTAGCTTTTGATGCAGGGATTAGCTCACTTGACTAACGCATGGGGATTAGTCCATTCATAACGATTTCTAGGGAATTAGTCGCATCTAACGATTTAATGTTATATAGGGGAAAATCAGTTGAGGTATAATAATCATATCTAACGATCTAATTTTATATAGGGATAAAATCAGTAGGGGTATAATAATCATAACTATTTTGCGGCATTGATGAATCTTTTAATTTTTTCATAGATTCACGGGCTTTCTTGAATGACTATGAGGATGAGTGGTCCACCAGTCATCGATCTCTTGCCCTTGACAAAGAAAAGAAGAAGAGGAAAAACAAGCCTCATGGATATATTTCTGTTTGGCCAGTGGATGAGGTAAACATGAAATATTTACATGAAATATTTCTTCAAAGTTGATAATATGCTTATAATCATGATAATATGGTCAAATTACAGTAAAATCACTTATAACAATTGCCAGAGACAGTCCATTTTGCTTCGTTATATGCAAAATTTGTTATATGTATTTCAAAGTCATTGGAAATGAAATTCACTTTGATGAAAGCATTAATTCATTATAAGTGTGTTCGCTATAACGTTAATAAGTGTGTTTTAATGTATAATTACATGTAAACCAATGAAAGAGAATATAATGATTATTGGTTACAGAAATTATTGTAATTTCTGAAACAAGTAAGAATAAAACATAGGTCTGCACATGCAAACAAAGAGTTTTTTAAGCTTTGCCTTGATCCTACAATATATGTTTGTAAAATATTTTATGTTTTGGTGTTGAATGATGAGAATCAAATTTGATGTCAAATCATTTTCCCATCAAAATAGTGACTATCCTATATGTGATTTTGTATATTATTTATAGGAGGATGAAAGTAATGAAGAACCAGTCTTATGTGAGCAGACTTCCAGCAGAGTAATAGAGGTAAATCATTTATTTCATGCATACTGTATACAGAGAAACTTTCACCCAAGTTTCAGTGTCGTCCCTTTTGCCCTTGTCACAAGTGGGTGAATTTAAAACATTGTGAATTCAAAGAAGACAGTATTATTTCTTAAAAAGAAATGTGACTGTACAAATTTAAAACCAAGCAAAATGGTTTTCAAGTGGGAAAATGGCAAAAAATTCCATATGCAGTAGTTGTTTTCCTACCCTATACATATCATCAGTCATTCACTAGTTACATGTAGTATACATGAATTGCAATTAACTGTAAGATTAAAGAAAATGTAGGCATTGTCAAATAAAAACAGAAAATTTTAATTTGAGTGACCAAGACCCATCCGGATCTAATTGTACAGAAGTACAATGTAGGTCTTTACAACTTTATAAGATTGTGTAAACATTTCAGGGTTTGAAAGGCAGGAAAGTTACAGTTCTATATGAGGGATCAGCTGCTGCAAGAGCCTGTACTATTGCTACCCCCCGTCGTGAGCCCTGCTACCTTAAGGAACTTTCAACAGATGAGAGTGAAGTGGTTGGTCTTCAAATGAGGTACTTCAAAGACAACAAGATCTGCACCTCCTCGCAAACAGAGAAAGTTGTTGTCATTCAAGATGAGACCGAGATAACAGACCTTCTTGCCAAGCAGAATGGAGGAAAGAAGAGGAAGACTGTGTCAACTCAAACAGACTCCCTTTCTTCTTGTGAAACAAGTGTGCAAACAGATTCGTATAGTGGCGACCTATCATCAGTTAATGGCAAACTAGATGAGATTCTCTGTCTTCTACATGCTACTGCTGCTGACTATTCCCTAAAGACCAGCAACATTCCCAATGTAAGCGACATTGTTAGATGGGTTACAGAAAATACATCAACCCCCAAGCCAGGGTTACCATCTATCACCATTGTGCCTGTGGAGGACTCTATCATGGAAATTCCGGCACGTTACCCCTCAGTTGCAACACCTGTGATAGAGGTGATTCAGCAGGAAGAGAAAAGACCTTCGCCCGTTAAAGCTCGACGCTTATCACCACTCAGATCACCACTCAGATCACCGCTGAGGTCCTCTCCACTTCTAGCCTGCAGATCTTCACCACTCAGGTCATCGCCACGCCTTGCCTGCCGCTCATCTCCTCTGACGCGCCCCTCCTCACCTCCAGTCAACAGCTCCTCACCTCCAATCAGCAGCTCCTCACAAGTAAGATCACCACCATCATCCCACCACTCTTCACCATCAAGGTCTTCAACTCAACCAGCTCGTCGCTCATCACCATTACCAGCCAAGAAGACTCTCTTTGCTGAGGAAAACGTTGATCATGAGGGGGCAGAAGATGGTTTCACCTGTACCCAAGTTCAGGAAGTGGCTCACAGGGTTAACAACAGGAAGAAGGCCAAAAAAGATCAGGTTCTGACAGTGTCTTGTAGTTCGACGGCAACAATTCTAGAAATAAAGGACGTCACTGATGTAGTCCCTGGAGATTTTGAATTCAGAATACGACGAGATATCCTAGCTGATGTGAAGTCCACAGCTTGCTCTGATGGGAACTTCATGTGGATTCTTACAAGGAAGTTATTCAGAGAAGATGAACTTGTTGAGAGGAATTTCTTTGGTAGAAAAGGAAGAAAACCCATATCTCCCCGAAGGAAGAGGGCACTTACACATGCTTACATTTCGTGTTGTGGAACATCCTATATGGAATTCACCAAGGCGGTGAACAGCATCAACAGTGGCATTCGTTCTCTGGGACGTTGATGATTCTTGATGTTGCTATATAGGGTGCTTCAAGTCCAGTCCATTAAAAGCTACAGTACCATAGGGGTTTTTCTTTTGTTTTTTAAAATACATACATTCCATGATTATTGAATACTTAAGATTACAATTTGCATAATATGCTTTTGTACTTCTTGTAACATGTTCCTTTCCTTTAGCATGGAGTCACAAGATGTAAATACATGTAAATGTACTTAAAATCATGTTGAATTATTTATTTATTTATTTATTTAAAAAAAAAAGATAAAGTATCATCTTATTGAAATTTGTTTTGTTTTTTAACAAGAATATGAGCTATAATGTAGCAATAGGAATCAATAATAATCCTGCTGGTTTGAATCATTGAGCAAAAACAAAGCTGAGCTAGTTCAGGAGCCTAGTTGCTATTCTGGATCTGTGTAGACCACACTGTAAGATAGAACCCTTGTTATCCCAATATCCTTAGGTAGATCGCAGTCTAGTATATGCATGTATCATTCAAGATTGTAGCATTTTGTAGCCACTAAAAGTTTAAAACCTTGCTTAGGCCAATAATAAAAAATTGTTTGATGTACTCTGACCAACCCTATAAAATTCCCCTAACCAATCTTTTATTTAGTACTTTAAAATTTAGAATTTTTTTTTTATCTGCGTATCAAGGGAAATACAGATTGTTTCATTTTTAAAGTAAAGGCTTACCATTTCTTTTGGTTTTACTACTGAAAGTTGATATCAAATCTGTTAAGCTGTCCAGTGTAACATAAAAACACCAATAAATTTCTAAGTTTGTGACTTAATGGCCAATTGCAACCTTGTTAGAGAGAGCACCCCACCACCAAAAAAATACTACCAACCTTCCGAAATGTGGGTCAAAGTACATCACACAAAAAATATTTTTAATGATAGCCATGTATGCAGGCTGGTGACTATTACAATACTGATGTTTCAAGTGGCTTTTTGCAATTGTACCACAATCGAACCCATCTAATCACCTTTTAAACTGTTAATTACATTATATTTACATCCATTAAGTATGATCTCCTTTAAACATGTATCTTCAAAAACCCATGTTCAATTATCAATTTTGAGGCTGCTAAGCAAGTCACCTCTATAGAGCTCTTCTTCAGTAAAACATATAGTGATGTACATATCACTATAGTGCTGTACATCTTGTACATATCAATAATAAAATATGTTATTAGCATGGGCAAAGCATAGCAACTATTGCAGGAAAAAAGTCACATAACCCTTGTACATGCAAGTGCATGGCCTTAAGAACCGGGGTTGTGCCCCCCCCCCCCCCCCCCCCCAATTATTATAGAATACTACAGCTATATAGGAAATATAATTACTATTGCTTGTGCCCCCTCAAATGACCTCAATAATAACGTGATGACCTTTTTATATATATATATATATATATATATATATACATTTTTATAAAAAGGGTTGATCCTTAACATGTACACAAGGCCTGAACACATTTTTCACTTCACTGATTTATTCAATGATGGTTAAATATACTTCAAACAGTTGGGTACTGAATAATGTAACTAAGAAATTATACATTTACACAATTGAAGCAAAGTCTTGGAACACCTTCTTCTTCACTAAGCATGTACATAGTAACTGCAAAATTAGAATCCAGAAGCTAGAAAACATTTTTCATACAAGTTATATTTACAGTGTACATTAAAATGTTTGTGGTGGTGAAAAAATACATACAAATGGAATCATACATTAAACCAAAAACACATATACATATTAAGACTATTTTCAGTCAATTCACAAAACATGTTAATATAACATGTAAATTTCAATTGATAAGGCAAAATCACATATCATTTAAATGATGTTTATACACTTAGAATTTTTAAAGCAAAATCTTGACACACATCCTTCACTATGCACATGCATGTACATACATGTATAAACTGCTAAATTAGAACCCAAGAGTTAGAAAAGATTTTACATACAACATGTTATTTACAATGTACATTATTTAAAATGTCCGTGGTGGTAAAAAAGTACATACAAATGGAATCATACATTAAACCAAAAACAAATATACACATTATTACTATTTACAGTCAATTCAAAAGTTATACTGTACAAATATATTCATATAACATGTAAATTTCAATTGATAAGGCAAAATCACAAATCATTTAAAAGATGTTTGTACACTTGGAATTTTCAAAGATTATAGAATTCCGACAGAACACTTTCACTCTGGGTGGGGGGTCCATAATCCGTAAATCGTTCATCATATGCACTGCAGCTATGAATTAAAATCCAGATGCTTCACCATCATTCAATACAACATAAGGGATCACCTTGTGGATGTGGTCAATGTAGCGGCCACACTGGTCAGGAGTCAGGGATTCCCAGAACGCCTTTATCCCTCCAACAAGCTGATCCTTGGTCCTTGGCTTGGTCTTGGTCTGCAGGTAATACTTCATTGATGCCCAGACATTCTCTATCGGGTTGAGATCTGGTGATGAGGCAGGTGTCTCCATCACATTGTCTAATACCCCATTGTCTTCCATCCATTTCTTTGTTGATTTTGAGTTATGCTTGCTGTCATTGTCCTGTTGATATAAAACATATGAAAGGAAAATCAGAAAAAAATAAATATGAACAGTTTTTAATTTTCTTGTTTTTAAAAATCAATTCTACAATATAATAGTATTTGAGGGAAATGTATACATGTACATGGCTACTTGTACATATTCATATATAACTTCTCAAAAATAAATATACTTTTATTAAGAGTTTAATAATTTTCATTATACACTGAATTACAGCATAACCAAACACTGATTGACAAAATAAATATTTAAATGAAAAGTAGATAACTTACTTGGTACAACCGATATCCATCAGGAAACTTGTCTTCAACAAATGGAATGAAGTTTTGATCCAGTATTCCTTGATAAATGACAGAATCCATCACCCCATTGAAGACACAAATGCTTGTCTGGCCTCGATAAGATATTCCAGCCCATACATGAACCTGAATCACAACATACATTAAAACATTATTTAACACCTTTTTCCCACATGCAAAAAATGGGAAAAGACTTGGATGTTAAATACAAAGTTTACATTTTTATAAACTTGATTTGGATTGCAAAGGATATACATATAATATTATCCTTGACAGAAAAAAAGGTAAAACAATAGATACACTTAGTGTTCATTACCTAAGGATTAATAACAACTATTACATATACAGTCATATTCTCTTACCTTATAGGCATGTTTCGGCTTAGACTTCCTTGCACACTTTCTCTGCAGTCTAGAGCTGTCCTGATGGAAGAAAAATCTTCCATGAGCTGACATCTCAACAGTGCTTTCATCCACAAAGATGACGTCCCGAAAGTCCTCCCTCTGGTTGAGGGCATTAAGGCACCACTTAAGTCGAACCTACGATGAAAAATATTTGGTTTACATATATCATTTGATTAGACCCACAACAAAGAGTTATTCATTCCTTTAAAATTTGAACTTAAATGCTTCGAAACTTCAACTGTCAGCAGATAAAGTAACATCAATTGCAGGGATCAATATATTACAATCAAACACAAACAAATTTTAAAAAATTAAATAATGTAAAATTAATAACAACATATGTACTGCTACACATCCGACAATACAATAGCGAAGAGTATACAACAATGCTGATAATCATGATAATTGGAGGTGGGAAATGTATGAAGTAATATGGTGTTTGGTTATTTACAAATCATGTTCAGATTCAAGTCTCAGACTGCTTCATGATTTTAAACCTCACCCATGTAAAAATGATACATGTAATAAAAAAAAGGGGGAAGTTTCTCCTGTGACAACATGTAAAAAAAAAACAAAAACAAATACAAAACTTCTGAACTTTGTAGATGCTGCCTTGTCACAGCCAAACACATCCTCTATGATAGAAACAACTGAATCTTATACACAATTTCAAATATCTTACATTTAATACTCAGATATAAAACACTTACCAATTTGTTCTTGTTACTGATGAGCTGGCATGTTTTTGACACAACAGTCTTCCATCCTAGCTCTGCTCGTTTTTTCCTCACAAGACTGCTGGAAACACGGATTCAAAACACTTCAAAAAGTTTTCTTTGCAACATTGTTGTTGTAAGTTCATTATTTTTCGAGAGCCAAGCGTCCATGAATTTCAAATGAAGAGACTTCAGTTTGATGGCGTCTTCTTTAACGGTTCTCGATTTCCTTGCCAGACCACTACCAGATTTCCACCGTCTTAGGAATCCGTATATTCCCTGTCTACTGGCGATTACATTGTGGTGCCTCCGTAATCCACCGCGTATCATCTCTACAGACATCTTGCTGGTGAACATCCTGATAATCGCCAATTTTACGGCCTCCGAAAAACGTGTCCCTCTATCTGTCCGCGCCATTGTTTGAATGAATCGTAAAAAAAAATAACAAAACGAAAATTGGACTCGGAATTCCTCGGGTGTTTCATCTATATGTAAAGATCATAAGCGATGAGTTCCGAATGCACACGATAAACGCAAAACACGATACACGATAGAACCTGATAAACGATCTTCACGATAAACGCAAAACCTGATAAACGAAAAACACGATAGAAAACGCAAAACCTGATAAACGGAAAACACGATACGATAGGATACGATAGGATACACGCACGATACGATAGGATACACGCACGATACGATAGGATACACGCACGATAGGACACGATAGAAATGTAAAGAATAACGATGCGGGTACTGTATATATATATGAGTATAAGTTACAACCGCTTTAATTCATTCTATAAATCATAAGATTTCTCTGATTTGTTATCAACTAAGAATAAACATTTTTATTTTCCAACTAAAAATAATGTCTTTTATACTTCAGCGTTCGGCAACAATTGCAATGTTTTAATGCGATAAAAATCGTGTGATTAAAAACTTAATGTGCATACATCGTCCTTCTTGGGACAATTTTGGAAAATTTATTTTATTGACTTATTTATTCATTCATTTATTTGTTTACTTATTTATCATTTGTTTTTTTTGGCACCTGACATTATAATACAATAAAATAGTTTCAATGCAAGGAAAAGATCAGAGGCATTCCGAATATATCGTTCATCTTGCGTTCACCGTTCGTTCACCGTTCACTTTGCGTTCGCGTTTGCGCTCCGTTCGCGTTCTGCGTTCACTCACCGTTCACACATCGTTCACCAAGTTGCGTTCAGCGTTCACACATCGTTCACTCACCGTTCGCTCAGCGTTCGTTCAGCGTTCGTTCACCGTTCAAGTGGGAAAGTAGAACGTTTCAGGGACTGTATATAAATAGTAATGGAAAAGACGGGTTAAAACTGTAAAAGTGTAGCGCCACGTGGATTTGCACCAAGACTCTAAAAACAAACCTGCTTTTAAAACAAACATTCTGAGCTAGTCTAACTATATTATAGACTATTTAAATACGAATTAGGTTTTCTAAGAGAAGTTTCCTTATTTCCGTTTTTTTTGTTCGACCCAGGGTAGGGGTGCCCCTAAAAAATCCCAATTTAGATTATTCATAAGATCACAGACTTTCATAATTCTTTTTTGGAATAGGTCTGCTTTGAGGGACTTTAGGTTCGAAAATCATGCAAAAATGGGTACCTTAGCGGGGAAAATGTCATTTTAGCCATCTTTGAGGGTAAATTTGTAAGTAATAAATTCTAATTTCAAAATTCAAATTTGAAACATCTACACATATATACAATAGAAAATAGCTAATGAACGATGGTTTTGAAATGTAACTTTTTTTTTCAGGGACATATTGCTCTCTAATAGGTCAATGCTTTTAAAATTCAAATTAAAACATTTTTTTTAATTTTAAATATGTTGAGGAATTAAAATGCGATAGGTAGTCAAAGGATCATCTGTGAACACATTTCCACCCTCAAACCTTCGATTGATAAGGCAGAATTTTACATGCAATTGATATTTCATTATTTGACATTATTTTAACAATTTATGCTTCTAAAATTTTAAGTGAGCTCGTCAATTGTCACTCTAGTTACTTACAATTTGCTTGCAATCTTCAATTTGAATAGATTGGATAGGAAATTCTTCTTGGAAACCTAGCTTTCTGATTACTTGCCTGAAAGATAAAAGGGAAAGAGAAAGACTGTGGCATTAAAAGATTCAAGCTTCTCAACTTTACTGTATCAAATATAAATGAAACTTACAATATTCTCAAATATCTAGACAAATTATTTTTTATGCTTCATGATGAATAAATCACGTTTCTTTTCACAAACCTGATAATGCATACAAGACCAAATATTGCAAGAATGAAAAGAAAACAACTCCCAGCAGCAATAAGAGAAATATCACGAACTGTCAAATCTGAAAGTATAAACCGAAATTTTCTTTGAACATAAATATCACCGGTCTTTGGTGACTTCTCATATGAGTGAAAAATTTTCGCAAGGGTCGTGAAACAACCACCAATCAATCAACATTTATACCGTATCCTTGAAACTGTTTTATTTTTAAAAGATATACTAGTATTGGAAATGTAAGAACAATGAAATTCTTGAAGGATAAAATTGATGAAACCAAAAATAAATTTCAATAAAAAGATCGCTTAGAGTTGAGGAGAGAGAGAGAGAACGTTAGCAACAAAGTTTAGTAGGGGATATTTAAGAAACTACGCTTGTTTTTGTGTTTGTTTTTTTTCTGTGACGGTGTGTGTTTGTTTGTTTGTTTTCTTTTGTTTTTGTTTTGTTTAATATGAATCTATTTTTGCTTTAGGAATTGATGAAATTGAGTTTTTCTTAGAATTACAGTTTATTCTCCTCCGCTGATATGTATATGATTGTTCCCTGTCCCACAAAAATATATTTGAGTTATGATGATTGAAATGAAACCAAAACCTTCAGGATGAGGAGCATTTTGAAATAATTTCCCATACTGACTAATACAAGTAAAAGGTGTGGTTCAGTTTCGTTAACTCTTTTGAGAAAACGGTCACTAATATCGATACCTCAACTTATCTGAGTTAATAAACATATTTTGCTGGATTTTTATATAAACCAGACTACACAGTATAGATATACTGGTTTGTTCTCATAATAGGGCAAGAAAAAGCGGCAAAAAATTGTAGACTTCAACATTTTTTTTAACAATTCTAATTGATATCAAACCAAACCTTTAGGAAAGGTAGAATTGTATTGTACAAATCAATGTATCTTTTTTTAAGTGTCGTGGCTATTTTGTTCACAAAAATTATTACATACCGAGAAACAGAGTTGTGTATCTTGGTGTTGGCTAATTATATGTTGAATCGATATTCAAAATATTAATAAAGAGATACTTTTACAGAAGTTTCTATTCCTAGTCACCTTGACAACCTTTCATTGAAAAAAAAAATCGAAATACATAGTTATAAAGCTTGGTATGATAACTACCTACTTTTGTTGATAAAGGAGTAAAAATGATAATGAATAGCATATGAAAGGTATTTCAAAGATTATACTATTTTTAGTAACCCGAATAATACCGTATCGACAAAATTTTATTTGGGCATAGTTTGCTGTTTAAATAGAGGAACTCGTAAGTTGTCAGAACTTGTTTCCGCTCCTATAGATTGTTTCAACAAAATATATTCAAAACAAACAAAACAAAGGTCTGTGTATAAAGTTCTATAAATTCAAAAGATATTTCTTGCCATTATTCTTTGGAATTCCAATGATCATATCACTATATGAAATATTCTTCCTTAAAGATACTGCAGCAACCCATATGCCGTATTTCTTTTCAGCCTCAAGACCTTGGATTGTATACTGTGTCATACCGTCGGCAGATAGACTGACCTCGCCTTTGTTCCCTGAAAAAGAATTGGAAGGTTTTGAATTTTACATTTGTTCAAAAATTGATTGATTGATCATTTGTTCGTAAAAATTTATACTGCATAAAAAACGTTCAATCTTATTAAAACAGCAGTCCAGCTTTTACACCTTGAATTTACAATATTTTTTTTCACCTTTACAATTATCATGGTTGTTCAACCGACAATATTGTATTCTGTATGAATTAACGTAAGCATTTTTTGCGCTTGTCCTATCGCATTTGATACGAGACCATGACACAGCAAGACTGTCATCTGGAGGAAGCGGAAGTAGTTTAATATCTGATGGCTTCGGCATCTCTGTAATGAAATTAAAAGGATAAATATGCAATTGATTTCTGCTTCCAAATATGCAAGTGCAAAATGCCTGATATTTTATTTTTCTTTATGGTTATTGGTTTGTTCCAGGAAATTTCATAAAATATATTCCATAAAAAATAGATGAGATTTTCAAATTTAGACAAGATCAGAAACTTAGAATTTAGCGCAAACCAAGTTATGATAATTAAGGTTTCATGTTTGCGATTTCTTCATGAAATACATAGTTAAAGTGACACCGTGACGGAAAAACGCGAAAATCGACATAAGTAGAATTTATGCACGACACATGCAACTTTTTTGCTCGGTTCTTGAAAGTATTAGGTTTCAGCAAATTACAGGTTTCAGAACCTAAAAAATCTAGTTTAATGGATAAAAATAAAAGTAAAAAAAAAACTTTGTATAATCCAACAAAAATACTGCTTCACTTCTTCATCTTTATTGTACGCATGCGCTGAAAGTTGAAGAATTTACCATGGTTTCAATTCCATAGATATAAATGTCGGATGACCGAGAATTTTTATACAATCTTCAAAGAAGATGATCAGAACTTATTTCTCACTTCTGCTTGCTCCAATTTAATGTTGTTTACAAGTTTCTCGCTAAAAATAAAGGAACCGTGACCTTGACACTGTGGACATTGACGAAAAAACAAAGCCATAGATACAACATTTGTTTTTCCGGCACTTACATTTTGCAGCTTTTTTCTTGCTTTACAGTGCAGTTGAGTTGTCAAAGCTTCGCTATATTCATATTTCACATAAATCTTTTGTTTTGTGATACAACTTTCTTAAAAGAAACACGTGATTTTCACTCATTATGTAACTTTAAAAGAAAAAAGTACAATTGTATAAATTGATATGGAGCAAATATTGAAACAAACGCAATATATTTAAATACTTTCTAAGATACATGTAGTTGTTTTACCCGCGTCTTTAGTGTATCTGCATGTTTCCTGCCATCGAATACCACTACTTAAATTTTCTCCATTCAACAGGGCAACACCAAAAATGATTTCATCAAACGAATCATTTATGTCTCTTTTGGAAACCAGCACGTGATTTCCGGTAAGGCTGGTGTCTTTTGGTAGTACATTTATTTCACCCTGAAAATTACAATGAAATCGAACGAATTTGAAATGTTAATACTTAATATAAAATGTGCTAAAGATAATATTTTTGTGTAGGAAGAAATACTTTCTATTAACTCTTCAGAAGACTCTTTAAAAGATATGGACATCAAATAAATAATCATTAATGTAAAATAATAAATAATTAATGTACATGTACTGACAGATTGATATTTTTATATTCCTACCCGGCATTTTTGAACAGCAGCCTCCCCTTTGCACCAAATAACATGTATTTTTGAAACACTCTGAGATGCAAACGAAGATCCAAACCAAGTCAAACTCATTTTATCATCACCAGCTTGCTCCACTATCAACTTGTCTGGAGGGTTTATCTCTGAATATTATTTCGTCAAAATTATCAAAAATTGAAAAATAACGCAATATATTTAAATGGACAGTCAGGTAACACGATAAAAGCAGGATTGAAGAAATTTTGAGATCATAGATAAAGGAACTTGAGTTTAAATTTCCAAAGTTCTCCACAAGGGGTTTTACCATGGCGGCCGGTCATGGTTAAATTTATGTGCGCCATGGTTAAACGAGCTAAATTTTTATAGCATTTCAGTACTGACAATCATTAAAGACCTAAGTAGTTGTTTATACCACGACTGGGAAGCACCTCGAGAGAAAGCGGACTGTGCTAAACAAACACAGCCGTTGATCGGCGAATACACCGTGAAGCGTGACACTTGAGAGTCAATCAGCTGATGATCAATATCTCGAGAGTTAATTTCGGAGAATTCCAATGTTCACTATATAATATAACAGATTGACAAAAATAAAACAAAACAAAAAATACATATTTGAAATTATTTAAATTGAAAATGCCCCTACAGTTTTGGTTCAATTTTGATACATTTAGTACTTTTGTAAAGTAAGACATATAATCATTTTTTATATTTTTATTTTTTTTTCTTTTTCTTTTTTTTTTCTTTTTTTTTTTTGCTTTATCATTATTTTTTTTTCTTTTTTCTTTTCTTTTTTTTCTTTTTTTTGGGGGGTGGGGTGGGGTGGGGGGGGTGGGGGGTATTTCATTTTTCTTCAATGGTTAAGTTTTGTGAAATCAATCATTGATTAATGAAGCTTAGATAGTCTACAGCTCTCACGCATTCGTGCTTTTGATCACATTTCGTTTTCACGAAGCTTCCTCGATGATTAATTTTTTAAATGTGGAGAACCCTGAATTTCTATATATACTTTCAATTGTGTATATTTTTTTCTATTGTAGAAATACTTCAATAACTACGAAATAGATCGTCCTGTATATCAGTACTATAGATGCTTGCTGTTTCATCCTTATCTTCTTACCCTCATTATCCCTTACAATGATAGATGAATGCGGGGAACAACCAGCAGGGTTACAACCTGTAACACTGAGATTGTGACGACCTTCACATGGCACCAGCACGCTTCCGGAGAAATTTCTCGCTCCAAAGGTATGATTCTTCAATCCGTCAAAGCTGACGATATAATTGCGTATTGCGCCATTCTGATACATTTCTGGAATTTTCTACAACAAAGTATTACTTACCATTTTATTTGTTTCGGATCTCTATTTGCTTTTTTTTTCTTTGTGTATATTTTTTATTTTTACTGACTCCAATTCAATGAAAAATTACAGTTAGAGACTGTAAGTGACCTAAGTATTGATACTCTAAGACACCAATTTCTTTTTCATTCAATAAAAATAGAGCAGAGGGAGGCAGTCTTCATTATTGCATTTAAAATAAATAAATAAAATGTTTAATTACTTGTTTGATGTTTGAACAAAGTTAAAAATATCAACAATTTAACAAGATTGTTAATTGAAATCTTTCTTAATCTAAGCAGAGGGTTTTGATTTTTCAAAGTAAATGGTCTTTGGAAAGATATTTGCCAAGCGACTTAACATTTTCTTCTGAATTTTAGGTCATAAAAGCTTCAGTTCTTATAAAACTACCCTTTTTTGTTGAAAACTATCATATATAATATTCCAATGCAGGAAGATATGGAGTATAACACGATACCTTCCAATATATCATTACTGAGCGACATTTCAAGGGACTGTCACACTTTGCAGACAAATAACCACTGGATGAAAGCCTAGGTCCACTCGTTGGAGCTGTGATTAAAATTAAACACTGAAGGCAATATCAATTTGTTTATAAACATTTATTTAAAAAAAAAAACGTTATTCACTTTTTTTGTCATCTACAGTAAGTAACGTCCATCAGTTTCTCTATTGTAATACAAATGTAAATTATCTCTATCATATCCAGAATTACAGAACTTCGAGGTATCTGGGGCCCGTTTTACAAAGGAACTTACGACTAACACCCAAAACTTATTAAGTTGATCGTACAACTTTGCAAAATAAATGATTCTGTTTGAAATTGCTAGCATAAAAATATCTTGTTGAATACTTTTTAAAAAGATTAAAACCATATTAAACCAATGAAAAATAGGAAGTAATAAGCAGAATTAAATTTTGGTCTTAGTCGTAAGTTCTTTTGTTAAACGGGCTCCGAGTGCGTAAAAAGCTTATCAACGAGAAAAAATCAGGAAAAATGTGTAAATATTCTGATTCATCGATCAAAGTTAAAAAGCCCTAACAAGAGATATTTTTTTCAATTAGATACATATTACCTAATCAATTTAACATAGAGGCGTTTGAGCAATCATAATCATAAAAATTAATAATGAATTTTTAAAAAATGATCGATAGATCCATTTAAATATTCTTTATCAATTGGTGTTTTAAAATACATGGATTACTAAGCAAATCTACGAACAATTAATATTTCAAAGACTTTCAAGGGGAAATAACTATTATAATTAATAATGAATGACTATTTCAAAGGATTCTGTCAAAATATTTTTTAAGTACAATTTGTTTATTCTTATCATTAGATCAACTCATTATAAAAGCATGAACTAAGTTAAATTTGTACTGAAATATCCCCCCAAATGCACATTGAATACCTCAATTGACCCATAATTTACTAACAAAGCAATTAGACAACTTGGTTTGCATAAATATTTAGCAGGTTTACCTTTAATACAAGTATTGAATTTAGCCGTTGTCAAATCACTATAGTGGAAACCCTCAATCGGTTTTTGTTGTAGCTCTAACTTATAGACAGAATCAGGAATAAGGCCACAAATCATTGCTGTTTTGAATCTGTCTATCTCATTTACCTGCAGATAGTTCAAATTATTATCAATAATGTAATCGTGTTTAAACAATAACTATTACCTAATTTTACTTACAGCTTGGAATGAATTCATTCCTATAATACATGTAATTTCATGCAGCACAAGGAGAGAAAACAGAATTATGGTTTGTTGTCATTGAAACTATTTAAGCAAGGGTTTTCATGACGCTTCGGATTCATGTATATAGTACCAATTTTGATGCACCAGATGCGCATTTCGACAAATTATGTCTCTTCACAAGTGATGCTCATGCCAAAACGTCGGAAATCCAAAATATTTATATAAGATAGTCTGAAGAGCTGAAAAAGTGCCAAAAACTGGATCCAAATACGTCGAAGGATCAGAGCTATACATTAGGGAGATAATCCTTAATTTTCAAATAAATTTCTAAATTCATCTTATTCATTGACAGCATAGTTAATTTCAAAAGAAAACGATTTTTATGTAGGGGTACATTGTTAGTGTTTGTGTAAACTTTTCTTAACTTTAAATCATATCACATTTTTTTTTCAGTCTAAATGATTTTGAAAATAAAATTGATTCCAATATGGAAGTAAATTATTCAAAAAAAATCTTTTTGACCGAACGACAAGTATAAAAAAAAAAAATAACTTTTACCATTGATGGGTATTTTGACAAAATATTGTAAAATTTCAAGGCAGGGTATACATAAACTTTCTTGAAATGTACCATTTATATCGTTTACCAGTGCTGTCGTCTAGCAATTGGTCCTAACTAGTATCATTTGAAATTTAAAAATAGCTATTGATTCCATTCAAAAAATTCAAAAACATATGAATTTAATAGCAATTGCTGGCTTTACTATTAACTTTTTTAATTTTAATGTAAAATTGATATTAGATGTAATATAAATGCTTGGCTAAAATTTGTTGAAGATCACATTTTGATAGATGGAATCAAAACCAAAAGAAAGATTTTTAATTTACTGTTAATTTAAAGTGGAGGAAAATATTCTGATTAAGAATTTCATATTGAAAGCCATCATCTACCAATTAAGTGAAAATTTTCCAAATCCCTCAGCAATTATTATCAATTATTCAATGAAGGTGAATACGATTTCCACCTTTGAAATAAGAAATATACTCAGTATCTATTTTAAATCTACATGTTCTGATCCTGAGTACATACTACTAAAAAAAACTAGTTGAACTAAAAACAGACATTGAAAGCCTGTGGATAAGGAGCTCAGATTACATTCTAAATTTAACAAAGAAATTAACAAATGATTTTTGGAAAGAGGTCCTTAATTCCTGGGTAAGACTTATAAATATACACCAAGAAACCAGACAGGTGTTATCAGAACACATATGGATTAACCCACACATAATGATTAACGGAAATCTTTTTTCTGGAAATGCTATTTGATGAAGGCTTTGTCTTTTTAAATGACCTTTTTGATCATGATGGCAATTTTTAAAGTTTTGATACCATAGAAAATTCAAAAGTGAAAACAATTTTTGTTGAATATAATGGTCTTAATGGACTTATAAATATACACCAAGAAACCAGACAGATGTTATCAGAATACATATGGATTAACCCACACATAATGATTAACGGAAATCTTTTTTCTGGAAATGCTATTTTGATGAAGGCTTTGTCTTTTTAAATGACCTTTTTGATCATGATGGCCATTTTTTAAAGTTTTGATACCATAGAAAATTCAAAAGTGAAAACAAATTTTGTTGAATATAATGGTCTTAAGAAAGTTATATTAGAAAGATTGAAGTATGCAAGAATGGATGAAATTAAAAGATTAAAGATTATTGGACCAAATATTCCAAATTCTATTTTTATATTCTATAGAAACAATAAAGGGTGTAAGGATATGTTTAGCATATTTATCAATAAAAAGAGAAAGCCAATCAGTTCTCTTTTAAAATGGAAGGAAAACAATGTTTTCTTTGGTGAAGCAGATTGGAATAAAATATTTGAACTTCCTTTCAAAATTACTCAGGAATCTAAATTTCACTGGCTTCAATTTCAAATATTACACAGAATTATCCCAACAAATTTTTAATTTTTTAGATTGAAGTTGATTGATTCACCAGCATGTACTTTTTGTTCAAGTGGCATAGAAACAATTGATCACTTATTTGTTGAATGTTTCAAAGTAAAAGAATTATGGTGTAGCATTGAAGAATGGATTTTGGAAAAGTTAGATATTCGTTGGAGTATTGACAGACTAGCTATACTTTTTGGTAAATATGAAAACAAGAATATATGTAAATTACAAAACTTGATAAAACTTATTGTAAAACAGTTTGTTTTTCCTAGTTAATATAAAAGTGTTAAAAATATTGATATTCTAATAAAGAGGATCATAGGCAGAACTTTTATAGAAAAGGTTTTGTTGCTGTAGATATATGGAATATGAAAGACATTGGCAAAAAATGTGTGATGCACTTTGAAAAATCTTATCTATTTTTATGATGAACTGTAATGGAATATTTAGTTGTTATTTGATTGTCAATATTTATATATAAATCTCTCTACCACTGCTGACCCTCCCCTTTCTTTCTTTTCTTCATTCAAAATTAACTTTCACAATTACAAGTAAATTTTGTACTGTTGTAAGAAGAACAAAAGTATTAACAAATTCATTGTATATATATATATATATATATATATATATATATATATATATATATATATATATATATATATATATATATATATATATATATATATATATATATATATATATATGTCTCTGTGTGTGTGGTGTGTGTGTTGTGTGTGAGGATGGGTGGGTGTGTTTATATATTTTTATATATAACAAGTTTGCTTTGTACACTTGTGAAAGCTAAAATTAAATAAAAAATTAAAAAAAAAAAAAACTACACAAACAAACATGCTTTTGTGAAGTAATAAAATACAAATTTTGAAAATAAATACATTGTTACTTAAAAACAGAGCAAACAAAGATATGGAAATAAATGTATATTTACTCAACAAACTAGAAATATGATGAATTTTACAATTTCATTTTGGTGTTTTTATATTAATGAATAATAAATTACCCTAAATTTTTCACTTGATCCTCTTCCAACAATAACAACTTTAATTTCACTAGTTTGTTGTGAATTAGGTTTTAATGAAACGTTTGTTGAATTGAGTAACATTCCAACTTGAGGTCTTTAACCGTTAGCATGTTAGGTTTTTTTTTTCTAAGTCCTCATTTTTCAAAATGCTCAAACATTTGAAACTGAGTTTCAATCGGGATAATTTTCCAATCTCGCGAAAGTAGAAAATGCGTTTCTTTTGATAATATTAATTCTCTTGCACTCTTCAGGAAATGATAAAAGATGTTAATACCATGTGTGCTTGTTCAGTATTTCCAGCAAAAAGGTTTTTATTTAGTTTATATATCAATGTTGCCCTGTAACCGCCTGATTCAAACCCAAATAAAGACACTAATGGAAGATCGGACCTTTCTCAAACAACTTATTAAAATATGTGAAAGGCTTTCTAGCGAGATGGATGCTCATTTAAAAAAGGTTTTCTTAAAACCAGTTAAACACAACATGCCTTATTGCAGTCAGACTGTAATTCATGCAAAAAAGGAAGCAAACCAGTACTACAAAGAACATTTTTTAAAAATACAAAATTCTTCTTTTCTTATGCCTGATATACAGTGGAGCCTCATTTATCCGGACGCTGTGGTTCCTACTCAATTTGTCCGGATATGTGAAGCGTCCGGATACCTGAATTGCCTTGATTTTAGCTGTATTGTGTCTCATAGCATTGGCAATGGTACATTTGTTTTATTGTTTAAATTAATACTTTAATATACATTAGTACTCAGTACTTCTTTAAATTAAATAAAAAAGTACATTGTCATTAGATGAAATGTTGTTTATGTGAAAACATTAATTATTTCTACTTCCCAGTGTCTCATGAATCAACTAGCCAAGTGTCTGTAGAGCTGATAGAGAAAAAGCTGTCGGTAGAGTCTTATTTAATATGAATGACCATCAATGCAATATCATTAAATGTGAAATTAACTGCACATGTATACGTATGCTAATCATAATCATCCCAAGCAAGATCGTATTAATTAATGATTGTGTAGTAATGAAAGTGATTTTATAAATGTCAATAAATCACATAATCCGTTCTGCGCACAAAAAACTGTGCATAAAAAAAATCCGATGTCATGTCTATAAGAAGCAATATATAAAACCATGTTACGACGGTATTCTAACAGTAAAAGAAATATATTTGCCGACTACGAAAAATTATAGACTTATAAAATTATTGTACTTAATTAATACGTATCAATTATATGTTAAAGAAGCGAGAGTCTCGTGCACCTATCGACCTATAATAAACCTCGCCGCAAGTCATTGATAACAGGTCGCAGTTGATCTTTTAAAACAAACAACCGGGCCAGTGTAATACTCTGATCAAGAAATTTTAGCAGAGTTGACAGACCAATTAAAAAAATACCGTCCGGATAGATGAACCAAAATGAAATGTAAAAATTCATTTTGTGGTGATAAAAGACCGTCCGGATACGGAACGCGGAATTCCGGATAAACGGGACAAAATAACGTTAAAAAATTCCGTTCCCATGAAAAATCGTCCGGAAACTGAAGCGTCCGGATATCTGAAGGTCCACTGTATACACATTTAGATGTTTTTAGCATAGGAAATTAATGAGAAATAAGCAGATACAAATATTTTTTTTCCAGCGCAGATTTAATGTCCTCCTATTGATATTTCCTAAATAGTCCTGGTTATTATGAAACATTTTTCATCTGATCCTTATGTAGTTATGTCTGATAAAATGTAATTTGAACCCTGAGTCCTCCACAAAATAAACATTATATAGATTGTATAGATATTGAATTAGGTAGTATATCTCTAATTACAAATAGTACGATCTTTATTTTGTATATTGACAAATAAAAAGTAAACTTGCCCTTGGAATGGCATCCCACTTAGAGTTGAGATAAATCTTTGTTGTAGTAACTATGAATCGTTCTCCGGTGCTCCAGGAAAGATTGACACAGGTGCAGGAAGATGTTACTCTAGAGGTAATGTCTGTTGGTGGCCCAAGTTGCACTTAAGAAAGTAAAATTATATAATTATGTTTATACTAAATTCAATTTTGTCTTTCTAAAAGGGTTTTAACGACTTGATTCTGTTTGTTCTTGAGACAAATGAATATAAAACAAGTTTGAACTCTACAATGGAAATCCTTAAAGATTTAAAAAAAAAAAAGAAAAAGTTTTTTCTTCATATGTATCTTGCAATATCTACAATTATTCTCCTTGCGCTAAACCAAAAGTCAAATTTTGTAATAAGTGAAAATTCAACAAGTATACAGTTATCCTGAGCTTAATCTAGTACTAATGAGAGCAATTGTCATTTATTTTTAAGCAAATGTGTACAGTAAGGCTGTTCGTCTCATATACTTACGTATTTTTTTATTCCTGAAGTGAAAGAAAAATGACTTTGTGAACTTGAATTTCGTGTTAGTGATTGTCAAGTTGATATATATTGTACTGGCATATATGTCTCCGTCATTCTGACTCCAAGTGCAGCTCTCTTGTGGAGATTTTTCAGGACAGTCTAGGAAATGGTAACCGTAATCGAACGACCTGTGAAATTTAAACACCTTTATTAAATCTGAAGTACTGTAAAGGAGAAATTGAAAAAGAGAGCGGAGAATGATACGTTTCTTAAAAATAAATCAATTTCAAGCTCCATTAGTAAAAATAATTTTAAGATTCTTAAGATTTTTACTTTTTATAGAAATGTACCTATTATGCAAAACAATATTTGAAAACATATACTGGATATAAGTTCTTTGAGAAGAATGATTGATATGACTGAGAAACTTACACAGAAGCCATGATACTCAAACATTCTTCATGATTATATGTCCCTAACTTCCACCTGCACTGCAGTTCGTCTTTGTCTTTAACTAGCATGCAGGTAAAGTTAGATACGTTACGTACAGCTTCATCTATATTGAAAAAAAATAAAAACGTGTTTCTTTCCTCATTTATTCTCGTTTAACTTAACGACATAAAAATAATTTTTGCAGATTTTACAAAACATTTGTAGTAAATTTCAAACATGCAATAATGATAATTTTGGAAATTACTTGAGTTGATATCATTTATTTACAATGCTGAAACTTCCATTCCATGACACACGTAGGTGCAAGTGTAGAAGCTTTACACTAAATAAAGACCCTTCATTATACAATGCATGTAGGTAGTTTATTAAATATGAAAACATACGTCATTTCCTGTTTACTTGAAAAATGAATGTATGTAAGGTGTAGTAAGGATTTGAAAAATTTAAAATGTCTCCAGAGATATCATACTAGAAACATGTAGGAACAAGAAGCTCATTCACAACAATACACTTTCGAGTGACATGCCTTTGAAAAAAACATACATGTGTGTGTCTAAATCCCCATAATGTGCACTCAAATTAAACTTGATGCGCAGATTTTTATAAGTTGTATTAGCATTTTATTGATTACCACAAACTGTAACCTTCTTCTAGGCTTCTAACTTAAGTTTAATAAAAATATTTTTTATCTCGTAATTCTGTTGATATTTTAATTTATTTACCACTTACACTCTACAAAAACGTTCGTGCGTGGACTCCTTGACATTTGCTTTTCACTAGTACTTCTACAAAGGTAAGTGCCCTCTTCCGATACGTTAGTGACCTTTTTTCTCAACTGAAGTATATTGTTGCCTATAATGAGCGTATTTTTGCGCGGGGCTTTTCCTTCAGGTGTTTCCCAATACAATGATGATATATTCATTCCAGCATTTATGGTGCAGTTTAATTCCAATGTTCCATTCAAAACAATTTTGCTTCTAGATGGCGTTATCTCTTTAAAAAGGAAATGAAGGATATTGAATTAAACCAAAGTAATTATCATTTTTCCTTTAAAGCTTTTAATTAAGAGAATATAAACGTGTGTAAAATAACATTTCCAGAAATAATAAAATCTGAATTCAAAGAGAATAAAAATGTTTCAAAGGAAATTACAAAATACAATTATAAATAGTTTTATATTTATTTTATTAATTAAATGATCTATTTATCATATCATTGAAAAAGAAATACACTCATAATAAAATTGTTACCTACCTCCAAAAAATTCTGAGATTGGAGTCTCTTGAAATATAGTAGGGCCAAATAACCCTAAAGTTATGTAGATCATATAGCAGTTCATCCTTATCGCTTTTAAGCTTTCGCTAAAATGTTTGCTCTTTAACCGTCACTACCACCGCAACCGGATACAGCTAATTTCATCTCACTGAAAATTAATATAGTTGAACACCATTGTAATAAATTCCTGAGTGCTAATGAATGTTTTATGCTATAGTCTTTGCTATTCATTATATATGTATATTGATGTTAAATTTTGTAAAGCGAATTCGTAATATAAGAGTGTTGTCCATATAAATCACAGGGGTAGGTTTAATTTTAAAATTTTATTTTTAATAAAAACTATGATATTACTGTTTATATATGTTTTTGATCAATGTCTTTTTCTTGTGAACAGTGAAATAAAAACTCAATCTGTTAAATTTAATATTTAAGACTTTGATAAGGATGGATCTGGACCCGTAGCAATTAAAATCGTCAAAGGTTCTATTTGTTAACTTCAATCTACTTTCCTCTGTAAAGCAAATGATACTGCGCTTAAATCCCTTTAAAAGTTGCACTATGGCATAGGTAAGTAGTCCCACATCATAAAAGAAAAATCAAAATTTTAAACATTCTCTGAAATTGTCTAAGAACCGTTAATTATGCCAAGCTGATTCTTTAAAAATGTTTCAGATTAAACGCTTAGAGTAGCCTTAATAACGTTTTTATGGGCATGGTTTCCTTCTAGTTTAAAGTCAGTATTTCTTTACTTTTATGGTCGTTATAATAACCTTGTTAGCAAATATAACCTATCATTGGATCTTATTTTGGCTGACGTTTTTTATACCAATTGTAAGGCCTTTGTTTTCATACTGAAATTGACTACGGAATGTTCCGTCTATTTGATCAATACATAGGGCACATGGCGGGTATGACTAATAAAGAGGGGATGCTTACTCCTCTTAGGCATCTGATCCCACCTCTGGAATTTCCAGGGTTCTGTCTTTTATGTCCATTTACAGAATGACATTGTTTATAGATTTTTTGAGGTCTTTCACTCATATGGAGATGCCACCACCACTTGCCGGTGGAGAGCTACAAATTTTGACCTATACTCGGCACTCAGGGTCATCGAGCAGTGAGGGGTCTTTTTCGTGCCAGCACCTACTGCGACACGGGACCTCGGTTTATACTTATACGGTCTCATCCGAAGGACGGTCTCCACGTTCCGCAGTGAGATTTGAACCCGCGACGTAAGGATCAATTCCTAACATAGTGACTCTAGAGCAGACGCTCTATCCACTGTGCCACGCGGGCAACTCATGGCAATGAGCACAGTGCGGATGTGACCGGTCGACAGGGAATGCTTGTTCCTCAATGGCAGACACCTGATTCCACCTCTAATGTTTTTTTAGATGTCCGCCTTTGCTCTGCTCCCGATATGTATTGTTTCAATGGACTTTGGGGCTTGAAAACTGTTCTTAATCGCAATAATTCATTTGTATAAAACAAAAGGTGTGAATTATGTTTTCATAATAATGATAGTCTGCATTCTTCTTGGATTTACATGTACATCAGATAAATCTCGGCATCCCGTTTGAATCTTGACCATTTAAAATCGCGGAAAGGAGGTATCAGAAAAAGATTATAATGCATAACATATAGTAAAAACAAATCAAGGGAAATCAGTATGAAGTATTCGCAGAAAAGCAGACAGGTTGCGAAAATAAAATTGCGGAAAAGCAGGTTTGCCATCTAACCGATGTGTATTGATTAAAAGAAGACATGAGAGAAAGTAATAAGAGAAAAGGAATAAATTCATGTATAACTAAATGAGAATTTCAGACACATGAATTTATCAACTAGAAATGAATAATTTTATTCTACATGCATTTAAGATTTGTTCACAAAATTACAAAAGCTTAATATGCATATAATACACTCTCAGTCAAATAATAATACACATAAATTAGTAAATGGATTTTTAAATATTTTTAAACAATAGAAAATCAGATTTTCCATCCCAAGCTAATTGGAAGCTGAGGAAATCTGATTTAAAAAAGATAAAGATATCAGATCATATGATTTTCTTTCGTATTCTTTCCAGATAGGTTTACTATTCCCCTGCCCATCAGCTATGATACAGACTTTACAAATTAAGTAATTATCTTATTTGAACAAATTTCCGATTTGCACACATTTTTTTCTTTACCCGAATTTCAAATGTGTGCAAAACGGAAACATGTTATTTTGACCTATACATGACGTCTTACCGTAATATGAGAAAACTTCAACGAGTCAACTACTATCGTGACAAGGAACCTCGGATTTTAAGGTCTCATCCGAAAGACCCGTGACTTTCACTTCTAGTGCCGAAAGTTCGGCGAAGGAACAGTGTATACCCATGTCAAATGTCTGAGGTTTGAAGCGGCTCCTGGAAGGAGCACCAAACCCGGGACATCCCGATAAAAAAGTGAGCGCCCTTCCACTAGGCGACCGCGACAGGTCCTCACTTTTTGATGAAAATTTTGATTGGCAATGAAAAATATCCATAGAGTTATTTTTTCTAATCAAATAAAGACGGTCTCTATTTTAATGAAGAAGCTGTGGAAATGGCATTATACTTTCCACAAAACAATCATAAGTCGGACACATAATTAAAAAAAAAATGCATAAGCTCGGGAAGAAACATAATTTTGCCCAATTTGTACTACCAATTTGATTGCACTTCCGTTAGATTGAATTGAACACATGCCTTCTTTTTTGTTTTGTATTTGGTAACTGCTTTTGCATGCTCTAGGAATTTTATTTTATGACCTTGTTCATAAATCATACCGAACATTAATTGTAGGTTTAGTGTAAAAATAAAGTATAATAATAATATAATAAAACAAAGTCGTGGCCTGTTAATATTGTTGGTACATGAAAAAATGATGTTCCAAATACGTTTAGTGAATAGTTATACATAAATCATATAAATTGTCTGATGAGATGCAGTATTTCATTAAACATTTCTTTGTAGGCAACCCTAAATTTGCAGATTTATGAGTTTGTTTGATAACTGGTAAAGGGTGTCTTGTTAAATAAAAGTAAATATACTAACAGGTGTATATTATTTACCAAAAGATGTTTTATTCAATTCTAAGAACAAAAACAAAAAGAAAGAAGGCAGTTAGCACAAAAGACTCCCGTTTGAAAGGAAGCCGATATAAGCCGGATAAGGCAATTGAATAAAGCGCTTTTATACTCACGGAAATTACCAATAATGAATCATATTTCAACTAATGATAATATTGTTGCAACATTCTAGCTAATGATGCCAAGGGTAACAAAGTGTGATCTGTTTTAATGTCTTCATTCACCACTTCCATCGTTCTAATATCTTTTGCTAAATCTAATTATTTTAAAATCATTGTGATGTTTTGACCTAAATTTAACATTTTTTTCGGTACACTTTTGAATCTTGCTGATATATAAATGATTAAAGGAGTAACATAGTTTTACTACATTAAAATCTAATGTAGTAATAAAAAAAGACTTCTAAAATTGTATTTCATAAGATATGTTAATGATAAAATGTTTCTTTTTTTTCAACAGAAAACTATAAAAGTCAAGAAATATATAAACATCAGTGTGACATGTTTTCAGACCTACACACAGGTAATCTTTTTCCCAATTATGTGATTATATAAAAAATAATTCAGTAAAAAAAAATTCAATAAAATTTTGTAGAAAATGATGCATGTGCTTTTTCAGTTTTCTTAAAACGATCCTTTTACAAAGTAGGTTTATTTTTACCTTAAGTTTGGTCGTCACCAGAGAACTTGGTATGTATTCGGTATTTCGCTTGATTATTTAATTGTTGTATTACGTCCCTTTCGAAATTTTTTTCACTCATATGATTTTTATTTCTACATGATCCAGATGCAAACATGTTTACTCCCGAATCAACAAGTTTTGAATTCATACGATACATCATACAAATCCTGTTGTGTTCATCACAGGAAGTGGACTCATATGCCTTAAAAAGCTTGTTTGAGATGTATTAATTATTCACAATATTTTGAACATCTTACGTCACAAGGACTTCAAAGTAAATAAGCGAAGTGTAAAAAAAATTTGGCACAATTTGTTTTCCGTATCAAATGTTCAGTTGATATTATATAGTTAATACCTATATGAAAACTTAATTTTACACTCTATGAAGAGCATAAAAATTGTTACCTCCTTTAACATAGATATATGTATAAAATAAAAAATAGTGATTATCTTCTATTGCTTTATCTATTTTTTAAATAAAATAAACTTGCTGAAACTAGCTTCTTGAATTTTGATAAACACTATGTAATGTAAGGTTACATTTTGGCGAAGACAACATAATTTTATGTATTATGAAAGAATAAGATCTCTTATACTTTATTTTGGTCATACAAGAAAGAAAATGCCCTTTTAAAATTGATTTTTGTAAGGTAGTTTTTGGATATTTTTTTTGTTAAGTTCATGAATGAAGGTATTTTTTATATTTCAAAAAAATGACCAAATACATTAAAGATGAAATACAGAGATAAAGAACATTACAGTAATCAAGCTCAAAAGTACATTGAAACAATACAAATCCTGAACAAAGCAAACACGGACCCCTAAAATATAAGAGGTTGAATCAGGTACCGTGCAGAAATAAGCATCCCCTGTCGACCAGTTACACCACCGTGTGCTCATTGCCATGATCGGGCAAACGGACAAATCCGTAAACAATTCAGTTTTTAAATAATGGCCTAACAATTAGTATGAATAACGTCCGTCAGCATCCGACTTAATGATAGGTTGTGTTTGCTGACAAGGTCATGGTATCGACCATAGAAATGATGACTTTAAACGAGACTGTTGATATCCTTGTTTCATCAACTTGTTTGTCAATAGCTTGTCTCGTTCTAGAAATTGTTCGTACGTGGAGCATGCTCTTGCTTATCGAATCAGCAGGGGGATATAAACCGCATATGCAGGTGATTAGGTTTATTGTTTCATAAGTTAGTGAAGTTGAAGATAGAAAAGTTGAAGTCATCACGTTTATCGTAAAGTTTTGTTTTTATGTTACCATTAACGTCTTTTTCTAATAAACTATCCAAATATCCCATTCGAAGATTTTAATTCAAGGATCTATGAAAACCAAAATATCAGTGGATAATTTATTAAGTAAATAATATTAGCCATCAAGATTAATTTTTTCATATCATATTCTTTAAAGGCTATTGCAACAATGCAAATACAAACGTTCATAGTCGGTCAGTTGTCATTCTCAATTACCTGGTAATCCTATGTTAGAACAAACGATCAACTAGCTTAAAATCTATATCTACTGATGAGAAAGTTATAATAAACTAGATTACTTAGTGCTTCTTAGCTATGTTCTGACAATTAGCAATCGTAAAAACGGAAATCAACCATTTCATGCACGTTTGGGCTTTTTAAAAAGATCATGAAAATGTTGTTCGGACATTGAGAAGATCATACTTTTAAAGCGGTAAAAATAAATCTATCGATTTCATTTTCAACAAATGTATTTTATCCAAGGGAAAAAAAATTAAAGACAGCAAAGTTTTGACAAACAGAGAGTACGTTTCTTTACTAAAATGAGGGAAAATGGATCTAATATAAATCATACATGGTACCAATTTTGATGCACCAGATGCGCTAAATAAAATGAAAAATTAATTAACATTGACCAAATAAAATGTTTTAAATGATTATAAATTGAGTTATACAATTTAGATTTCAATTTATTTTATTTCATAATCCAAAGACAGATGTTAAATGCATAAGTTTACAAGTTATTAAAGTTAAATATAAACGATAAAGAACAAAAATAAAGATCAAATTTCCTTTGGAACAATACAAATTTGGAGCAGAGAAAACAGGGACCTCTAAAGGCATAGTGGTGAGATCAGATGCCATGGAGGAGTAAGCATTCCCTGAAGACCGGTCCTTGTCTCCTGTGCTCCTTGTCGATGATCGAGAAAACGGAAAAAAATCTTAGACAATTCAGTGTGAAAATAATGGCCTTACAATTTGTAAGATAAACACCAGTCAACATTACTTAGCGATAGATTGTGTCATTGTTTTCACCATACAATTTGCAAAATGTTGACTTTAATCGAGACTGTTGATATCTTTCTAAAATCAACTTAAAAGGTGCAACAAGTAAAAGGTATAACACAAGTGAAAGATATAACAAAACATTTGTTTAACTGAGTTCTCTGGCAAATTCCTTTTGCCAATCCCTCGAACCAAAGCGTTTGCCTTCGGCCTATACCTCAGGCAAACAGTTTGATTATTGGGTCCGACTAAATGCATGTTTCCTTCGAACCAAGTCAATAAATGTATATTGTTGTTAATTTGCCATTAATGGCTTTCTTTCATAAAACAGATGTGTCAGAGCGTTTTGCAACAAGAGGATATGGACTCTATGCTATCCGTTACCATGTATGGCATCATTTGAAATTAAACTATTTTCAAGAGGGACTCTTATGTCAAGACATAAATTATTAAATTCATAATTAATAGCATTAAACTGATACTAGATTACCTTACGAAGTTCATACGCAAAAATTTGAAAATAGGTAAAATTATGCTAGAGTAAAAGTTCAACATATTTCTTACCAATTACTGTGTTTTTTCTATAGATAGAAACTGGTACAATAGAAAGAAAGTGGTGCAATTCTACCTCTTTGTTCATATAAAGAGTTTTACTGTGGAAATGAGATTTTAAGTAAAAAATGCAGATGGGGTATTTGAAAATAGAATTACAGAGAATGCCATAAAAGAAATCTCTTGATGTGGCCTTCAGCTCGACATTTAGAAATATCTACGATGTATTATCAATTAACAATAGTTATTTCCATTCATATATCGACATGATATATCCCAGTGTGTTTGAAATAAAACACACCACAGAGTCTCACACAACTGCTTCATATTTGGATATTTTACTAGAGAAAAAACGTTAATGATAATCTAACAACAAAGTGTTTTGTGATAAATGTGGTGACTTTAACTTTTCAATCGTCAATTTCCCTTACCTATGCAGCATTATACCCTTATCACCTGCATATGGGGTGTTTATCTCTCAGCTGATTCGATACGCAAGAGAATGCTCTACGCATGAACAATTTCTAAAACGAGGTAGATGTACGTTATTGACAAACAAATTGATGAAACAAGAATATCAACAGTCTCGTTTAAAGTCATCATTTCGTAAGTTTTATACCTTTGGTCGATACAATGACCTTGTCAGCAAGTACAATCTATCATTAAGTCATATGCTAAGTTATACCAATTATTAGGCCATTATTTACACACTGAGTTGTCGGCGGATTTTTCCGTTATTTACCGATCATGACAAGAGCACACGGCGGGGATGCTCACTCCTCCATGGCACCTGATCCCACATCTGATGTTTTTGGAGGTCCGTGTTTGCTCTGCTCCCATTTTGTATTGTTTTTAATGGATTTTGAGTTTGAATACTGTTCGTTATCTCCATATTTCATGTTTGCGTTTTCCCATTGTTGACATATTTTTTACCGTATGAATAGGAGTCATATCCTGCTCAAAGCAGTACTGCTTGATAATTTGGTGCTGCGAATCATCGCCCACTATATTTGAAAATATCTAATCAAAAGTTTTATCATTAGTGATGAAAAATTAATATTTTTATACACGAGTACTTTAGATCCTGGACTTTCAATGGAAGTAAATTTTGTTGCATTTTCTTTCGTATATCTTGGTTGAGAAGACAAATTCATTGACGATGCTTCTTTTGAAACTCAAAATATTGCTGTGCGCCGACCACCGATATTTAACAATCTTTCAATGTTTTTTTAACAAATATATGACATTACATTATAAAAAATTGTCAAAATAACAAAATGATCATTTCCCATTGAAGTGCAAATATTAATTTTAGTGAAATGGTTTCTGAAATATTCAAAATGTTCGTGGTTTTCTGGGACAACCCCCGTATAATGAGATACATATTATACACCAAGTTTTCCAGTGCAGTAAACATACCTTTGGCTACAACAAAGTAAATTATTAAATCTAAGGCCGCTAGTATTCTGTATAAAGCTGTTCAATTTAGCTAAAATAGTGATTTTATTATATTGTAAGTTTCACAATATAAAGAATACATTTTTAACAGTTTTCCATTATTGGGAAAAATATGCATAAAAATTCCACCTATCTACAGCTGTGTATTTTGAAAGGCAACAGGTGATAGGAAACAAAACAAAAAACCAGATAATATATTGTACATACATGTACCAGAGACATCTTTATTAATTGTAATTTTAAATGAAACAAAAAGTTCACTATCAGCGGGTTTTTTTTCACAGACTTCCTTGCATCGGTACTTATAGTTACTTAATTCAAGTTTTGTACAACACCGAGCAGCTATCAAAAGAGTCAATGTATATCTTTTTTGTAAAGAAATGAATAATAAGCAACAACAAATAAATGTAAAGGCAAGAAATAAAACCTCTTTTTACAGCATGTAGAGTACAATTTTCCTGACTAGAGATTCCCCTCTATGACTCCAGTATATGGTACATATCCGATAAACTCGAGGTTTTTCTCACTGGTATTCTGGTTAAATGCATCATTTGGAAGGCGGTCAGGCGATTGCTTTGCATTTAGTATGAATTTCACGCTTGACTCAACGTCTGGCTCAGTGTCATTAAAAACATATTCAGTGCACATTTCCGCGTTTTGACAAAAATTACTCGCTAAATGATCGCTTAATTCAGAGGAATTGATAGAAGTATTTATAATTGAAATGTTATCGATTTTAGATGCGTTAGGTACACCATTATTAGTTAAAAAAAATCATTTTTAATGTAATCATCTCCGTTTAAAGCTGGTGTTGATGTCTTCTGATATGAGTCATCAATTACATTTGTATTGACATCCCTTAGACCAGTGTTTGTCATATTGTTTTTGAGACTTGAAGATATGCCTTTTTCCAATGCAGATGTCATGGACTGCGTTAAGTCGGAAGGGAGGTAACTTCTTCTTTGGTGCTCGACATTATTTCTATTCGTAACAGAGAGTTTGCTTTCATTGACCCAATGACTAGCATCATTAGTTACATAACATTCATCATTAATTGTTTGATCATTCAAAGATTCTTCATCGGTGGATCGTTGTGGGTTAACTGATATGTTATGTATGTCTGCTGCAAGAAGAAAACAAACATTATCCAGTCATCCGTGTACAATATATATTAAGTAATAGATATACAGAATTCTATATGATCATTTCATTACTTGTACCTTTCGAGCATATGTTATGATGGACCTCATTTTGTCCTATATTATTCTCATCTGAGGACACGATCTCCTGAAAGATCTTATTTGAGTCTGACGGCGAGTCCCTCGTGGAGATTCCAATATCAATCGGTGACCTATTAATATCTGTTGAAATTCAAATCAAGTTCCATTTCATTTACGATTTTCTGATCGAATGCACAAGAAATTAATTAACCTTTTCTGTGTGAGCATGCATCTTGTCAATTTAAATCTCACATTTGAAAGGAGATTATCTTATATTTTTGTTTTTAATTATTGACAAAAACATTAATAATCTTTTTTATTATCCTACCGTGGAGACAAGGAGACAAAACCTTTGCATAACCAGGGGGCAGAAATTCTCTCGACATTTTTCTTTTGTTTTCTTTTTCGTATATTTTACTCATTGACAATGTTGGATCACTGCTTTTGAGCATTTCAGGTATTTTTGCATTGTCATTTTCTTGGTTTATGTCATTGTCATTTTCCTTGTCTATGTCATTCCTACTGGGAAAATCAATCAGCGGCAAAACGGTATTATTAGCCTGAGGACATTGATCAGGTAGATTTTCGATGAGACACTTTAGTAATCTTTCCTTGGAGGTACACTGGTCACTTTCTGTATACGGTGAATTGGAAGATACAACGGATCCTTTTGCATATTTTGTTTGATTCTAAAGTTAGAAAGTTTTTTTTATAATTTTATATTATGTATAGATTTACAAGAAATGACAATAAAAAAAATGATAATATATTATATTAATATATATATCATCAATACCAGTTATTCCTCATAATTGTATTAATCAAACTTTACATCAAAATAAAAAAAAATATCAAAAATGAATGAAATTAAGGAATACATACAATTTGGAACCTTTTTCATGTGCCTTTACTCGTATTTTCAAGATAATAATACAGAATGGAGTATTTTATACAATCTCATCATGGTAAAAAAAATCCTTTAAAATAAAGCTTTTAATACTTCAAATAAAGATATCTTTACGTCAGAGTATTTAACCCAAATTTAAATCTCCATATTTTTTTTAGGTTATATTATGAATTGAATTTTAGATATGTCAAATATCTCAAGAATTAAGGTGTCTTTAGAAGCTTTTCGACATATGATGATTTGGCGTGTAACTATATGGACGTTTAATAAATGAAACAGTCCAATATGCCTGAGTACAGAGAGAAGGTATCTTAAGTGATTGGCGGGAGAAAAGCTTATGGAGTATACAGGTAATCTTTTCCTTTGAGAATACAAGATATTCAATGTTTTGTAGTTGGATATGTAATTTATTTCAGGAGTGAGAGAAGACTTTTAAAAACATATTTTCAGGAGTGCAAAGCACTGTCGACGTCATGTCTAAGGAGTGATATCAATTCCACATCCAACTACAAAACACTGAATTTCAGTTTCACATTCTTTCAATTGGCTTTCTCAGTCATGTTGGTTTGTGAATATGTCCTATATTTGTTTCGGTCAATTTCAAACTATGGAAATAATGCTTTTTACAGTGTAAAAATATCGATTTTCTTTAAACCATAATTTAAAGCCCTTCACTATTGAAAATGGTATAAGTTACGCTATCCCCTTATGTCCAATTTCAAATTGTATTCATGTAACACTTATAAATAAAAAATAAATATATCCCCTTTTGTTCAATTTCAAACTGTAACACTAATAAAAAACAAAACCCCAAAGAAATTTTTACCATAAAACCATAAATATTTCATTGAAATATATACAGACTCAACAAATTTAAATATGATCAAGGTTTATTCAAACCCAGTTGTTTTCTATTGTTTGAAATTATATAATTGAAATTTTAAACAGAAGTTAAATCACGCGTTTCTCTTCTTAGTTCTCAAATACATAAAAATACTCAGAACTCTACCCTGAACAACAAAGTAACCCCTATTCTAGTGTCAAATCTAGTTTGCTCAATGCATGTTTATCGCAGCAATTTACTGAACCCATTATTTAAAATCGTTTTGAGTACTTATCGATATATTTTTGTGTTATTTTCCTGGTTTATTTTATATTTTTGTAATATTATGAAAGCATTGCAATAAGATACATGTACATATGTAAAGCATGAGCCTGATATCAAGTAATCTGTTTTTCAGCGAATTATATATTGCTGGAGATCCTCATTGACAACATTTATGTAGTCTTCGAAGACCAGGTCATTCAACAAATTTTTGAGATTTCGATGGGCACTGAATGTGCTTCTCTATTAGCCAACCTGTTTTTATATTCCTATGAAACAGAATTTTTTCAATAACTTCTAAATGTGTAGAAGAAAACACTTGCTGTGGCCTTCAATAGACTTTTATATACATGTATATCGACGACGTATTATCAATTCACAATAGTCGCTTCCATTCATATGTCCACGCGATATATCCAAGTGAACTTGAAATAAAAGGAACCAGAGTCTGCCAAATCTGTTTTATATTTGGATTTTTACTGACTATAGACGATATGGGACGACTAATATACTAAATTGTATGACAAACGAGATGGCTTCACTTTTCCTTCGTCAACTCTCCTTATTTATGTAGTAATATCCTCTATCGCCTGCATATGGTGATAACATTTCCCAATTTATTCGATACTCAGGAGCATGTTCCGAATACGATCAATTTTTAAACTGAGGCAGGCTACTTACAGATAAGTTGATATTACAGAGATTTTAACTACCTCGTTTAAAGTCAGCATTTCGAAAATTGAATTGTCGTTATATTGACTTTTCAGCAAATATAACCTATCCCTGGGTCGTATTGTGGCTGAGTGTTTCATACCAATTGTTAGGCCTTTGTTTTATTTTGAATTTGACAGCGAAATGTTCCATCTACTTGATAAATACAATCAAGGCGGGTGTGACAGGTGAACAGGGGATGCTTATTCCTCCTAGGCACCTGATCCCACCTCTGGAACTTCCAGACTTCACATATATTTGTATTGTTTCTTATTTTTTTTTACTTTCGTTATCTTCACCATTTTCATATTTACTCACGGAAATGCAGTTAGCAGATTTGGTATCAGTGTAGGAAGCTGGTGTAGTGACGAATTTCTCCCATGATTTCTAAAAATGATCAAAAAGAAAGATAAAAAGTAATCCACTTCTAAAATAAGGCATACGAGGCCTTATGTTGGTCAGAACTTACCTCAGATTCTAAATCAGGCAGGTGAATTGGGAAAGTTTCGCCTAAACCAAGTTTACTTCGTACATTTCTAAAACAGAAATATATTTCCTTTTAATTGATAACTTATAAAATATTAAATGTTTATTGTATATACTTTAATAGTGCGATCCTCTAACTTTTTTTCTGTGGAATAAATTTGATATTTTTATTAAACAACAAAAACAGCCAGCACATTTTTATGTCAGTTACACTGTACCAAATGGCAGAACAAATTTCGAAGTAAATTTCATGTACAAGAAAATTCAATGTTTTTAGCTGGATATAGAATTTATTCAACTCAGGCAAAACTTTTTTGTTAAAGCATCTTGCATTCGTGTAAAATACTGTCCCACTCTTGAATCTGAGTGATTATTGCTTAACGCCGAGTCGGCAATGCCTCAGCCATATTTTGGTGAAAAATTAAGTTTATACGTTTTTTAACGATTTTTTTTGTATTCTCTTGCAGCCCCCAGTGAGCCTATTCTTTTTCGAAATCCAGAGAAACGATCTCTTGCAAACCAATTTTAAGGGGTCCCAATTTTGATATAAATTCGGCATGCAACCAACAAAACATTGAATATTCTTTTCAGCATTGAACCAAGAATCTCAAATAGAAATTTAAAACGTTTCAATAATGCTTTGGTTTTTACATAATTTAAGATAAACTGCATTTTATACATATATGTATGTCATCATGTTGCTGTATAACTCTAAAAAAATTTACTTTGTAGTTTGTGTACATGTAAGAGAATCAAACTCAACTAGAAAACTGACACAGTCAGAGAGGGCCACGCAAAGAACTGTTAAAGAAATGTAACAACAAAGTAGTTATACATTCAGGCATACATTCAGACAGACATTCAAAGTGATATGACCTTTAATGACCTTTAATGAAAAAAAAGAGAACTGTTTGAGTTATCATGTTTAAAGAAAGTATCAAAGATATACATTAAAACCCAAAATCTTTAGGTGCTTTGCTCTTAGAGAAGAGTATTGATGTACCAATTTTGAAAATGTTTTGTTGATAACTCTTTGAGAGATCGCGTCACAGCAAGGTGTAAGTGGGCAGGCGGAAAATGTGATTCCTATAGGGCTCCCACAATTTTATTCGAGATCCTAATAAATGTTTATAGAGTTTTAAGCTGTAAAAGTACTAAATAATACCTCAGTATACAAACTCCACCAGCCAACATAATAACCAAAACAAAAATTCCAGCAATGATAATGCTTACTACAGCACTGGTCCCTAAGTCTAAAAAACAAGGTTTGCATTAAGTGTTTTGTGGAAATATCTTTTCTTTTTAGAGTTAAATATCCAAATGAAGATAGACATAAGAACTATTTGAACCACTATTGTGTTAATATTATATAAAATTAAGTCAAATTGTAAATAATAGACAAATTTCCAATCCTCCACTCGATTAAGCAGCCATACTATGCAAACATTTACATGATGTAAATGTAATCTCCGCCATTTGGCATTAGGAATTTTGAAAATATTGAAATCGCTTTTAAATCAATTGATCCATGTTGTCCTTACATGCATTTCAAGTAAAATCTTTAAAATTTAGGCATTAGGGAAATATTTTTCTAAGTACGCTGAAACATTGATCATAAGATGTCAGTAGTTTTGATCAGTGTATTCATGTAACATTTAGCGATTCTCATTCGTACCATTGTTGCTGGGTATTCCGGACACCATATCGCTTTTAGGTCCGACCTTTGCTAATGATTTTGCCCTCACCCAAACACCATGCTTAACGTCAGGATGAAGATTCTTAAGAGTATGTTGAGTGTTGTGTGTAGCTTAAAGTTCTTCAGAATTTTCTTTCCCTGAATTGTTTAATATATGTATATTTAAAGTTTTGAAAAATACATACATATATGAATTGCTGAAATTTGATGTCTACTGATACATAAATTTATATGACTGAGGAGGAACACCTGCTCGAGTTCAACATTTTGAGCAGACAGGTGACATTTATTGTAAAATAGACTTTATTGCTTAACCAACAATTTTTTTTACGTAGTACTGACAGTGTTCTGGTAAATCTTTTAAGATTATTTTACTTACCAATGCAATGATTCTGAGAATCCAATCGGCAAGAAATTATTTCATAGGCGTGAATGTAAACGTTGTTTACTTTGGAACTTTCACAGAGCACGGGAGACCATGATACAATAAGGCTGTTTTCTGGAGCGTCTGGGAGAAGAATGACGCCGGTTATCTTCTTTGGTTCTGTGAAAATTAAATTGTGAATTCCGAATTTCAAAATTAAGGGTGAGTCAGTCTGTATCTTGTTAAGTAAGCACTCTCTGCGGAATTTGATATCAGATAAAGAATTGCAAACGTATTTACGCCTACATTCTACGTTCTACACACACATCATTCAACGCGTTTCGCAATGAAATAGATGAAGATAAAGAACAAACTAACTATTGAAGTTTTTGGTTTCAAAGCAGGTTTAATTTACAGTTGATTTATATATAAAGTACCAGGATCAAGTGGTTGTTCTTAATTACAACTCTTATTGGGTATAAAATTTTGTCCATTGAAATCAGCACTGAACCTGACCGGATACTTAAATTCTCATGGATGACCACTTAATCTTTCAGTAGGATGTAGCTTTTGAAATGTAACTATACATGGCTCATTTAGTAAAATTTTGAAATTGAATATTATTTGAAATTGGATATAAATATTTTTGGTGTGTTTTGGTCTTTGAATATGTGCTCCCATTCCACAACAACAAAACAACAAAAGCTTTGTTTCATGTATAACTTTGCAAAATACCAGTACTACATAGCTCTAGAAGTTTTTCACGAGGTCAAAGGGGTGTATTTTCCGTTTTTCATTGATTTAGTAAAATTCTTATGTTTAACCAAAAATTTTGCATTATTTCATTTTCTTTGATAAATAATTCAAATTTTTATGAAAAATAAACACCAATGTATTTAGTTGTATATAGTTTGAAAAAGATATCTTTGGTATATGAGAACTTTTGAAAAAAATAAAACTTTCCAAATAAAAGATACAAAATAAATTGAATATTAAAAGTAAAATTTGTATGCAAATAACTCCTTTATTATGTTTAAACAAAGAGATTGTGAAAATATGATAATCAACTAACAATGTCTTTAAATTGGTTTTGATTATAAAAGAAGTTTTGAATTTCTAAAAACAAAAATGTTCCTTATTTTTTCAGATTAATTACTGTATTATACAAATATTAACTGTGTTTTGGGGCAACACTGATTATGTTTGCCCCAGGGGGATGAAATATTGCAAATAATTTTGTAAGTTAATAGTTAATGTTGCCCGAAAACACAGTCAATAATTGTTTTGTTATATGACAAACAAAACACATCAATAAATAGCATTTTGATTTAATTATTGAAATCCAGCAACCTATTGGTATCCAATACATTATCTTCAAGTTGACTGTGGTGCTAACGAATCTGCAAATTGCGATGACTGTGTTACTTTTTTGTGACGTTTTGTTTTTTGGAAGTCTCGACGGTACCATTACGTGGCAATAAATCAATTTGTTATGTAAAAAAAAAAATAGTCAAATTTAATTGGTTTAAAACATTTGTTAAAAAGTACTGTTACTCTAAAATGTACGTAAACTACGCCCTCCGGGTAACATTACATAGCAACGGCTGACATTGCATGACGACGGGTAACAGTATAAAGATTGTTAACTGTGCAGAATGTCTGCGCGTAGGATTCACTTTGGGTTTTTTCTTTAAAATACATTCTAAATGCATTCAGTATAACAAATAAAATATTACATGTTTATTTAAGGTAACATGTGAAATTATTATCCCGCGAAAACAATTCCTGACAAAGGCAAAGCCGAGGTCAGCAAGGTTTTAGCGGGATAACAATTTCACAAATTTACTCTAAAAATTTTTATACAACAAATCATAATCAAAATCAATAATATTTTGGGAAAGCTCTCTTTACCGGTCAAAAGTAAAAATTTAATGACCGTAATATTTTTCGGAGGAGTTAATATCAATTATGTTGACTTTTTCTCTTTATAGAGAATATAGAAATAACAATGTGAAATTATCGATAAATCAATCAAGTGGGGAAAAAAAAGAATAATTGTACCTAAATTCTTTTGGTATCTGCAAGCATCCTGCCACTTTATACCACCACTTAATTGTTTGTCATTTATAATAGCCACACCAAAGATTACATCTTCATTTCTACTATTGATATCATTGGTCGATATAGAAGTGTGGTTATCTGTTCCATTCAATCTCAGAAAGTTGAATTCATCCTTAAGTACAAAAAAACTAAGAGACTTCAGTTACTTTAACTTAAAGTTTTTATGAATTAGAATGAATTTATCTACTTTCAGGATTCTATCCTTGTTTTGATATAGTTTACCTGACACTGGAGCAAGCCAGATTTCCCTACACACCAGGCTATATCTACGGCAAATTGTCCTTCTCTGTGAAACCAAGTTAAGTCTACACTAGAAGTATTTCGATGTTCCACAATCAATCTGGATGGCAGAACTACCTCTATAAGATAAATATTCTTTTTCAGATTTATACAAAGACATTTTATTTAAGGTTGAGTTTATTGCATTAGGTTGGAGATTAATGTGGATTTTCTTGTAAGCACGTGTACTTTACTAATTACACGTTTTTTTGTTTGTTTGTTTGTTTTTTTTTTTTTTTTTTTTTGTGGATTGAATTTCTTTAAATTGAAATGTCATTTGTTTATGCTATTCAATTGAAATATATATTGACCTCTTTATATGATTTTTGTGGATGTTGAAGAATAAATAAAAACAACGAGGTCAATGTAATCAGCATATTATTTGCCATCTTCAATAAAGAATATGCCAAACTGAATAAATAACATAAGTATAGAAACTTTGTCAGAGCTTGGGTACCTCAATTCAGACAAAAGAGGAAAAGAGGACATTCGTTGATGATAATTATACACCTCAAAAAGTACAATAAAATAAGTTCGATATTACTTGTTATAAATGTGTTTATATATATATATATATATATATATATATATATATATATATATATATATATATATATATATATATATATATATATATATATATATATATATATATATATATATATATATATATATATATATATATATATCTGCGTTTGGTTACCTGTATATTGTGGTATTAGTATTTTTGATTCGGATGAACATCCAACTTTATTGCAACCCCTTATGCTCAGAGTACTGCTCTTTTTACACGGAATTTCTATTTCTCCCGACAACTTTTTCCCGTCAAGATGAACAATGATGTTTTCAAATGAAATGGTATAGCTTGTCAAATTACCATTTTGGTATTTTGTTGGAATTCCCTGAGTCATACATTTTTAAAACATTAATTTTGACGAAGTGATGTTCTAATGACAAAATTCTAATTGTCTTCAACGACATTGATACTATTACATAAACTCAAATCTTTCATCTTCTTAAACAATCATATGTCGTCCTAATTTCGGTTAAAAAGAATTTTGACTAAATGAATAGATATACATGTATCTTGATAATTTGTATAGCTCTTTTATCTTACTTTCCAATAAACAGTGACTCTGCGACTAGATATCCAATTGTAACATGTATTGGAGGAATACCCACTGGTATGAACTGAAGGAACCTTAGTTGGTTCTATTAATGAAGGAAATATAAACACCCTTTAATTACATAAACAAATATTAATGTTGTATTTTTAGTAAATTAAAAATGAAATTCGAAGGATCAGATATTACCTCTAGAACATGTTATAAATGATTTTTGGTTTATTTCACTGTAGTACAGTCCTTCAAATGGCTTTATCTGAATCTTAACATTATAGGTAGAAGCTGGCACGAGGCCACACACAACAATACTTGTGTTCAGATCCACATTTATCGACTGTAAAATGAGAGAATTAACCTTTAGCAGCGAGAAAAAGAGTGCAATGCTCATGGTAATTTATCAGTTAAACTTTTTGATAAACTTTCATTTTTTAAATGCCCCCCTTAAATTTTGATGGATATGCAAACAATTGCATATAAATATTTTTGATACCCCCATTTTTTTTTTAATTTACCAATAATATACCGAGCTTTTCGCAGATGATATATTTATTCCACCAAATTCACCTGTGTAACTACAAATCTGTAGTTTCAGTGAAATATACAAAGACATTTCGGTATATAGATTTGTCCCTTACAATGTCAAGTGTT